CCGCCATTTTGCTGGATACTGCACTGGAGAAGCGTTCCCAAATTACTGGACTGGCTAGTGACAATTGTACCTCGTTCAGAATGTCGTCGGCCGGGAAATGTAAATAATAAATAATAATAATAATAATAATAATAATAATAAAAAATCAATGTGTACTGAAAAAATAAAATTATGTACAATAATTATATACAATAAATATTATATACAATAATTTATCGTTTTTAAATGTGAAGTTATACAAGCAAATAATCGGTATAATCGTCGTTATAATATTTAAAAATAACGCTAACACTTATTAATACATTGCTAATTGAAATATTTACTTACCGATATAATAATCTTTACTAGCAATAATTGCTTCAACACTATTTACATATTAACTAACAATTTTATTTAGGTTATGAGCTAATACGTGTGCGAGGCTGTTACTAGTCACTAGCCAGTCCAGTAATTTGGGAACGCTTCTCCAGTGCAGTATCCAGCAAAATGGCGGCCACTGGATACTGCACTGAGTGAGACGAAATGGGAACGCAGCCTAGGTATTAGTCGAATGTCACCATGTTCTCTACTGTAGTTCTCACAGTAGAAAACATGGTGACATTCGATCAGAAAGATTCTGGTTAATTCCATCTTGTTTAAATCTATCAGAATTTCTTGTTAACTTTACTATATGGTTTTGTTAAGTTAACACAATTTTGTAATTGAAAAACGAGTTTGGATAGATGTGGTTTTTTTTAAAGTAATAACAATATATTTTGGTTTAAAGTATACTCACAATCAGTGATGCAGTTTCCTACCGCGCTTTCGGCTCCCGAGCTCCACGCAAACGAGACCATGTACACGCTTTTTGTTTGCGAACTCGGAGCATTATCAAAATAACAAAAGAGAATTTTCTTTTAAGCAGCAACCACATGTGCGCAAAACCAAAACTGATTGTGCACATATTTTTTTTATGAAAAGAATAACAAAAAAAAATCAAATAAATGCCATTATTCGCAGGATACTGTAGTTAATGCAACGATGTTTCTTTTCAAACTGTCAACTTTATTTTTGCTCTCTGCGTAAACATTCGAGAATAGTTATGTTGTTTTAACAGAAATACATTTTTTATTATATTTTCAATGAACAAAAAAATGTATAAAAAAATCATGTAACACAAAATTTTTTAATCGTAAACTTACATTTACAATTTACAATTGATCGGGGAAAAGTTCATCATACGTGAAATGTTTAACAATGTTGTTACCCATTGAAATAATTGTTTCAGAAAGTGCTTTTTCTATCGGCGGTTTTATGGTTGCAAGAACCTCTTGCGTATTACTGCCCATAAAATTCGCAATAATGTCTTGCATCTGGTCTGAATCATTGTGTTCAAATTTAAAATTGAACTCTTTTGGGATGAGATTTATAGTCAATTTTGATATATATATGTGTTTTTTACCATTTTTCCTTACTATTTTCATTTCTATGCTTAAATCCGCATTTACATCTCCTGCAAAAAAAAACACAGTCTTATAATATCGGTAAAGTAAAATCAGATTTTGAAAGTAAGAATTTGTTTTATACTTTAGTTTTTTTTATTTCAGTGGAAAATTGATTGTTTACGTACCTGCTGAAAGAGAAACTTGTCCCGTGGTAGTAATAGGCACCAGCACACGTATGTCAAAATCGTATGTGGCGTTCACAAATATATCTTTAAATAATACTTGTATACTGAAATTGTTTTTGTCGAGATCTATATGCAAATTGTTTATAACAAAATCGCAAAGTTTAAATATTTGCATATCCTTAAGATATAATTTAGCATTGTCTGTATCGGAAATGATCAGTTTGGAGACATGAAATAATCGTAATGGTGTTACATTCATTTCCGGGATCCCTTCGCATATTTTACTTCTCAAGTAATCAATACTGTTCACAACGCATTTATCGATATTCGGATCTTTGCGTCCGCATACGTGTATATACGAAGCTGTAAACATTTGAAATAATCAATTAGAAACAAAAAATTTAAATCATTTTTTCTAATTTTATTTCTAATTTCATTAAAATTCAAAATAATATGCAATATTTTTATAATGTAATTGATAATATTGATTTATATTTATAATACCGTATTAACAAAGCAATAAAATATCAAATGTATGAAAATCTTATCACGACATAACTTTTACACACACAAAGTATAATATAATATATTTAGTAAAAGTATAATATATTTAATATAATATTTTGTGTCAGCGAATAGTGGATAACCAATAATAGATAATAAAAGATTTTTTAATGTCCGTCCTCAAATTTTTTGTTATTGATTTGTTAGAACATATATTTGCGAAGTGTGCAACTATACAAATGCATTTTTGCATTTACACCAAACTAACAATAAGTTTGGTGCGTAATAATGTTCCTTATAATTATGCATTAATTTCATATAAATTCTTTGTGAGATGTCTTCTGTAATACACGTTCTATCGTGAAATATGTATAAAAAAATGAGGAATGTTGATCAAAGTCTACATTTGATTAAGTACGCGAAAATCATTACTGAATCTTCTTTTCTTCATACATAAGTTTTACATGCATATTCTTTATTTGATTATTACACGTATTTATGATACATATGTTAATCATGAACTCCATCTTCTGATTTTATAAGCTTTTAGAATACAATTTTCTCAATTAGCCCAAAAAATTCGGAAATAATATTGAAAAAAATGGTATTCCGTAGAAAAATAAAATATTTATTTTATTTTACAAATCTAATTTTAAAATATTATTTTATTTTATTTTACGGAAAGAAGATTTGTAATATTATTCTTATGGGAAAAAAGTTGCAGTTTAATAATCGAAATGTATGTATCTTGCAAATTAATAAATCGCTGCAGAATATTTAATTGTGAAACAGTTAATTGACACACTTTAAATATAAATGATCACACTTTAAATATAATTTTTTTTTTAATCAAGAAAGTGTGAAATGGTATTCTTGTAAAGATGTTTTCATTTAATCAAAATGCACATATTTTAGGAGATTTTCAGAATTTACGTTTATATATAATTCATTGTCACTTCTTTTAATACATCTTTCTTGAGTTGTATCAGTTAAAGAGTTACATAAAAATTAACAAAGCTTAAAAATCGAAACTATATACCGATTTGAGACCTGAGAAATAGCTTTTTATTCTGCCAATTTAATATATATACTTATTTTTAAGCGTCAATACTAACTCAGAAAAGATATTAAATTTTTCAGTGTGATATATTTATATGAATTAAATTTTTATTAATATGTTTTTTTTAAATTACAATCAGATGTGCAAACTTTTGTTATGGTATGTACATTATGATAGTAACGAGTATGTGTCAACTACTCACGTATTGCCGCTGTAACGTATGTTATAACAAATGTAAGTACCAAAATTTTAACCAACATTGTCGACACTAAAAAGTTGTTTGTAAAACGTATACAAAGGATTGAAAGAAAAGTGATCGACGAATTGATCGATGAAGACTGACTCTAATAACAAACCCAAGCTTATATATATATGTACTTGACCTTGGTAATGTATACATATATTTTTTTCTCTCATATCCATCTAATTACTTGATTAGATATTTTATGCAATAGTGAAATTTTATGCTAACTCATTCGTGTAAATGCATAATTGAAGCATTACAAACACAGAAAAGCTAAGTGCCAATAAATTATTTTGCAGAAAATCAATAAATATTGTATCATGTGTAGTGGATTACTAAAAAGATTTATAAAAAAAAATACGTATTTCTTAAAAATTGCCAGTTCACGTTAGATTGTCTCTGGCATTATTTATGAAAAATCAACTCACGATGAATTGCCTCTGACAGTATTAATTACAAATTGTCAGCCTACAGATAAATTACCTTTGGCAATATTTATTTTAATTTGCCAGTACACGTTGGATCGCCTCTGGCTACATTTATTAAAAATTGTCAGCTCTCACGTTTGATCGCCTCGAATTTTTTTTTTCTAAATTGTCAGCTTATGATAGATCGCTTCTAGCAATATTGCAATTTGTCAGCTCACAGATAAATTTCCTCAGACAATATTTATCATAAATTGTCAGCTAATAGACCGGCTCTAATTATATTAAAATTTGCCAACTGACGGTAGATTGTCTCTGGCTTTTTTTATTATAGTTGACACTCAGAGAGAGACTCATTTGTCAAACGATACACATACTATAAATCTTCAAGTCGTTATTAATTCTGTGATTTTATATGCATTTTTTAATTGTTTATTGTTAATCGAATATGACAACAATTGCTGAATTGTCGACGTCGATTTCAATTCAAGGTCGACGTTCAATTACATACGGATGAATAGATCCAAGAATCATGCATTCTGTTGTTGAAAGACTTTAGAACAATTGTTAATCCGAGCACGGCCAATTAATGGAAATTCACATACCACTGTCATTCTACGAGTTGCGTTTTCAATTTGTATTTGTAATTTTTACACTGAGATAGCCAAAATCGATGGCCGAAACGTTTGATGATTATATTTCTAAGCTTTAATGGAAAATAAATAATTGAGCACTGAAATCCAGCTACGGCTTTATTTGCTTTGCATTGTTTATCAGTTTATAATATTTTATTAATAGGAAATTAATTATTAATTACTAATAGAAAACGTTATATGAACGCAATTCTTTCTTTCTTCTCTTCTGAAGATTTTGATATTTTTGATTGTGCCACTTTTCTTGCCGATGTGCGATATGTGCAGTGGTAAATAAAAATTAATTTAAATGTCTAAAAATTAAAATGTTGCTTTTATTTTAAATCACTTCTGCAAATACATAATTCTGTTTAAAAAATGTTAAATTCCAGAAGTATCGTAATATCAGCTTTAAAAAATTGCAAAAAATAAATAACGACAAAAATAATTCTTCTTTAATAAGAGAATTGCGTTTCTGTACACTGGAAAAAAAGTTTTGTTGTATTATAAGAAATTCTGGTTGATTCTACTAGTCCGTTCGTTCGAAAATGGACGAAACAAATTTTTTGTTGGAATTATCAGAAGGATTCTGGTTAATTCCATCCTGTTTAAATCTACCAAAATTTCTTGTTAACTTTACTATATCGTTTTGTTAGATTAACACAACTTTGTAGTTAAAAAACGAGTTTGGATAGATGTGATTTTTTTTTTTAAGTAATAACAATATATTTTGGTTTAAAGTATACTCAATGATGCGATGTTTCCTACCGGGCTTTCGGCTCCCGAGCCGTACGCAAACGAGAACATGTACGCGCTTCTCGTTTGCGTGGAACTCGGAGCCGGGAGTTCGGTAAGAAACATTGCATCACTGAGTCTAACTAATATTCTGTAATGGATTCCACGACGCGACGTAAACTTTCAGCGAAATCAGTTGAGACTGCTCCGACTGCATTTGTTACACTGACGCGAGTAGCGAAGGCGCAATAACAGTGTAAGAAATGAACAATGCAACAACAATTGATCAACCGTTCAGTGAGTAATAGCGAAACTGTTGCAGAGCGCTGCGATTTATGTAAATATAACAAGTTTTGTAGATCCAACAAGAAAACATTTACTCAGATCTTTATAGTAAAGTTAACCAAACGGTGTAGTTACAAAATGTAAATTTTTGTTACGATAACCAGAAATTCTGTTTCGTTTAACAAAAATACGCTCAATCAGAAGCATTTTATTAATATAATAAAATCATTTTTTTTAGTGTAGTTTTCGCTGCTTATTCATTTCATATCTCTCAATGATACATCAATAATGACGAAGAAATATCAACATATTATTTAGACGTATGCAATTATATCATAAAAAGTGATATTTTTTTGTTCTATTATTTTTTAATATTTATAACAGACCTGTAATTATGTAAAAAAGGTGTAATCAATAAGAGATAACTTTTTCAAGGTTTTTCATAATACATGCATAATATGTGTGTTGTGCATAATTTATCTCTCTTCATTAAAGAAAATTGGAGCAAAACCAGGCTTATATCAAGGATATTCTACTTGATCACGTTTCGCTTATGAAACTGCTCATAAGTATAATCGTGCGATTAGACCGATTTTTTTATAATTTAGTTTTTGTATTTGTAACAAATGCAAAAGTTTTTTTTTTAATATCAAATAAATCATTTAAAAATATTAGGCTAACATTAAATGTAACAGATATAAACATATATGACGTACACCGCTATACGCAAGATTGCTTAGCTGATGTACATACAATATAATATTATCCAAAATTGCAGTTTTCTAATATGCATTTAGTTAGTTTACGCATGCTGCGTATGTTATTGAGCGGAAATATTGTTGCTGTATAAAGCACAAAGTGGCAAAACATTTGATGATAGGTGGAAATGTAAAAAAAAAGAGTGTTGACTAAATAAGTCGATCACAAGATGTTCAAATTAAATATTTCCGTTATTAGTTCGGCAATTATTCCGCTTTTTGTTCATTATCGATTATCTACTATCTATCGATATCTACATCGCACTTGTCGATCGCTATAATACACAGAATCAAGTGCATAATTGCTTTCGAGAATTGCGTTTTGCCCCTCCAGTCTTTCGAAAACTTGTTCATGCATTTTTATGCGGCAAATTAGTATGAGTATTAGTATGAGTATTAGTATTAGAAACAAACATAAAACTTAAATAAAAAATAAAAAAAAAAAAACACTTTATCACTTGTAGCGTATTATTTAATCTCATAATTAATCAATTTTGCCATGTTTACAAAATCATTATCTTACATAATTCGAACGTGATTCGAAAAAAAAAGAAAAGAATATCGGCAACATGTGCAATTGACTCATTGTTATTTTGTCAAGTTTCGTCAATTATAAAATCTAGAATCAATGATTTTGTCAAGAATGAATGATTTTTTAGAATTATCCGTGAAATATTTGGTCTTCTGGAAACATATTTTATTTGTAAAAACATTTAATTATAATTTTTTATATTTTCTGCATTTATTTTTTAATATTTTGTATGTGGTTAATTTATTAATAATTAAAATACAAGGCATAAAAAATCAAGGTCAAATATAATAGGCACAAAATGATTTATCTGAGAACAATTATCTTAGTCACCTTGATAAATAGAGGACAGATGGAAGTAAAAAATTATATTGTAAATAAGAAACGAAATGAGATGCTGATACGGAGAAGCGAAATTGGTTCCGGCAATTTGTGGTACAATTAATATGTTGCTTGAATACAGCGGTTGCTCATTGATATTAATTAGATCAAATAGTCTTTTACTGATCACGATTCAAGGTAATGCATCTAATTCAGAATTTTTTTGTTGAAGGTGCTTAAGGCAAAAAATCAATATATGTTTCAAAGCGTCGAATATCATGACAAACAATTACGTTGTTGGCAATCTGTTCGATAACATCGACATGAGTTTTATTCATACAAAAGATATATTAAATTATTAAAAGATATATTAAATTATTAAAAAATTGACGCCAATAAAAATTAAAAAAACATTTAATGCAAAAGGACTTGGCGCGCTACTACACCTCAAATAATCTGAGACTGTAAAAATAACTAATAATTAATTTAATACTATATACTTAATTATTATACAACGTTAATATTAAATAAAAATACGAATTTCCGATGTAGTAATTTATTGTGAATTGTAAAATATATTTTTCTCTCTTTCTCATTTATCTTCTTTTGTGTGTTACTAATTATTTATTGTAACAAAATATGCATTTACATTAATATTAAACACAAGATATTAATTAATATTATGTTAGTTAAATGTTATTTAGTGTAACAGTGTAAGCTGAAAAAGAAGCCGTTACAAGAATAAATAGGTAATTTAATGTGCTAGTTGTGCATACGTCATATTGTATGTCGCATGCACTTCCAGAACCTCTTTAACAAGAATCCAAAAAAGCACATTGAACAACTCTCAAATGAGTCTTACGTTATCTTCAAAAGACCTTTAAATGGGGCCAAACTTGAATCTTCAAGAAGCAAAAACAATCTTTATGGATTGTGATACAGACTGAGCAAACAATCTACTATTTTTATTCAATTGTTTATACAATAAAAAAATGTATTTAAAAAGTATAAAAAACTGAATAAAATTTTCGCTTAAAAATAATAAATTTCATCTATTTCTCATTTATAGTTCTATCGAAACGATGGTGCTTTTGCGTTGGATTTCGGCTGTCATTTCAGCATCCTCTTAAACATTTACGTCTGATAATTAAAATAAATTTATTTTATATAATTTTTCATGTTTTCAAATATGTATTAAAGCACATTTAAATGCGAAAAAACTATATTTTTTATGTTTTTTTATTGTTTATTTTTTAGATAATAAATATATGATATAGCTTCAACAGATAGAGAATTAGCGAGAATATTATAAACATCTTAAAACATATTCCATTGACTACAACTCCAACAACTACTATTATGAAGATTATGTCATTAAACGTAATGGACACAAGAATTTATACGCTTGAAGCAAAATACGAAGATATTATTAAAGAAATAAATTTTATGCTGGATGTCATAAATAACTTATTCCTTAAGATTAAATAAACTCGCAGTAAATTGTGTAACCATATTGATCTAGCCAAATAAATCATTATCATAACTCTAATAACACTAACATGATGTTTTTCCATTAAAACTTTTCACCAAACTAAATATTCTCCACATTATATTGCACACCAGTTCAACCATTTTTCAAAAATTACTTCCCAGTTCTGTAAAAGTATTTCATCTTTACAAAAATATATTTATTGATATGGCAATACAATATTTAAAACAATAAATAATAAATTTACATTGGTTCATTCATTTTGTATAATATTTTTTTAATAAGTAATAACTTGCTTCGAACGTCTATAATTTGACATTATAATCCTTGATCCTTTCATTTTCATCGTGCGAGAAATCGATGCTACACAAAATAGAAGTAAACACAGGCAATCAGTCTGAGTCAGAATTTAAATACTCGACAAACTGATTTAGATTTAATACGTGAATTTTACTAACCTATTTTCTCTAGATTTTCATAATGGCTGTTATCATTCATGACGATGATCTCTCGACAATATTTCTTCGAATTGGTAGTTTTCCGGTAGGCAATAATGCTTACGACAAAAATAATCTTGGCCATCTTTGAAGTGGCACCACGTTCCATCCGGAAGATACGGGTTGATGTCAATCGCGATTAATGCCGTTCGTGGTGTGTAATAAAAAGTAACGTTGTCTCGACGGCAGAATATAGCGCATGCTTCCCACGGCGAATCTTCAACATGAGGCATCTGCGTTCCTATCAAGTTGGCGTCATATTTGTATAAATATTTTTTGAAGAAATTGCATTTATCAGTAATAAACTCATTGATCGCTTGGCGTTTTACTGTGCAGAGTTTCGAATCATTACACAGAACTACATCGTAATGTGGCCCTTCGCAATCCGCCGCGCTGTAATTTTGCTTCTCGCATAATCGTCGTCTTATTATTACACCTTTGGAATTCTCTAAGCAAGCGCTTTTACAAGAAGCTTCTTTCCACTCAGTCCATCTACCCAAACTAAAGTTTGAAACGACTGGCAATTCGCGAACGGGCACGCATTCTCCGCCACGACATTCTTTGTTGGGCGCGCAATATGTTCCTAAAAAAATTAAATTAGTTTAATTAAACACTAAAAAAATTGATTAACCGAAAAAAACGTACCATCTAGCGCCGGTCCCGCGAAAAAGAACTCTTTACTGCGAGGTACATCGCACTGTAAAGACTCGCACACATCATGCAGCGTAACTACGCTCGCTTCCTTGTCTTTCAAAAGTAATTCGCATTGCATTTTAGCGGTCCATGCTCTTCCGGGTAAATCATGATACCGCAAGTGGTCAAGCGCAGACGTTGAAATATTTTGTGATTTTGAGTAATTTAAAAGACAAGGTTTCGTCCGCCAAAGTTTTTTCGCTTTCTCACGGCTGCACTCGGACCAAGTCGTCTGTTCTCGAAGACCTTGTGTAGGTGCCATTATGTACTTATTATGAGAACACGTATTGTTATCCGAATCGTGCCGCATTCCTAAGCTTTTAAACAGTTAAATTATCGATTTTTAATACTTACTAAAATATAAACAATTAATAAATCAAATCAATCACAATAGTTTCTTTCCTTTTTCACTTTCTTTGCGAATAATATAAAAGTAATACATAAAAAAATATTTATACTTAACTAATACAGAATACTTGTAAACTTACACATGACCGATCTCATGAGCAGCCGCATAAATCGAATGAAAACCCGCAGTTGTAAGCAGATGGTCAGACTTTACACCGAACTCTACCATCGCGCAGGACCAATTATTGCATACTCCTCCTCTGTAAGCCAGTCCCGTAAATTCGTAAGTCCGTTGGTCTCCTACGTCTCTATAAAGATCTATTCCGGTTACATAAAGACCAATGTCCCAATGACGTGGATTGTCGTCCGAAAGATTGCGAATAATCATGTATTTGCAAAACGTTATCAGAAGCATGTAAGCATCACCGCCATTTGGCAGATCCGACGGCTGCGTTTCCATGATTTCTAAGTATATCAATGAGATATCGATAGGAACACCGAAACTCGGATGATGGAACACTGCTTGGATACCATTTATGTACGCAAGTATCAAGTTACGTACTTTTTCATCATCTTTGTCCAGAAAAGGAAATAACAATTCACGTGCAGTTTTGTCGACAAATACAGCCAGTTCTATGGTCAAGTTTTTTTCGGTATTTTCCACATGACGCCGCTTCCGTTTAAGATTACTCATACAAAAAAAATCCGAATCAGCAGGATGTTTTAGCAGTGTTCGGGTAATCACATGAGGTATGCCAAATGAGACATTAGCTTCTTTCTTAACGTAAGGATGGCCCATTAAGGACGACGCGAGATTGTCTTGCAAAGGCATAATCTCCAATCTAGCGTTTTGCAGAATAACGAGTCCTTCCTACCTCCAAAATAAAATAATAAATTTGTTTTTTTCATCGCATACTTGCAAAGAAAAAGAAACAAAAGCGAAGACCAGAAATTAAAACATAAAATATTAAATTAATTTGTCCTTCACATAATACCACTGACCAATCCGTTCTTATGACAAAAGTTTATGGCCGCGGAGCTGATTTGATCCTTGTGAAGGTAATAGCAGGGATCCGGTGTGTTTAATTGCGACAACTTTTCTGTGACGCCTTTTGTATTATGTTTCCAGATTTCAAACTCAGATGCTACAATCTTGTCGTTTCTACGTAAGTTCAACTGAATCAATTTGCCGAAAACTTTCAAAGTTAATGGTACCTGCCAATTAAATGACAATTAAAAAAGGCCTAATAATTCTCGAATAATGCTGTATATATTGAGCAAGAAATAAAACACTACAGTAAAATGCACTTACCTTTGTTGCGCCTGACGGGTTCCATGCCGGCAGCAATGTTATTTCGGTATATTGCATGGCATATGCGTACGCTTCATTTAAAAAAATAACTAACGTCAATTTCAACATGAAAAGCATATGCATTTTGTGCGCTTCAATGTTAAATACTTGCAGAAATATATTTAATGTTCCTGTGTATATTTTCTGTATATATACGTAAATTGTAAAACTTTTAGGTGTCTAACGTCTTAAAGATCGGCGTACGAATCACTTACTGGCCTCTGTGTTTTGGAATATTCTTCGTATCGTGTGATACCTAATTTATAAATTTTCAATGCTACATGTAATTTTTATGTGTTTTCGTTTTTGTCGCACATGATTCTGAATTTTATATTTGACTATATTAACTATATTGATTATATTAACTATATTGATTATATTCAAATACTTAAAAAATTTAATTAACGTCTTTTTTAAATATTTAATTAATATGTATACACACACTTTATAAAACTCACATGAACGTGAAGTCTTTGAAAGTCGCGTATCAAACACGTATTGACATTTCTGCTTAAGAATATCTATAGCTTCGTGACACCTATTGTATTATATGTTACATATATGTACATCTTGATTTTAAATCCTAAATTTAAATATTTGCAAAGGGCTGGGAATTTGGAAAAAAAACAATTTATCGCCAATATGTATCGATAACAGTCGCAAACACTCGATTTTAATTTATAACAATTTGATTTTTTTTGAATTCCAAAATTACGACCGGTAACAAAATCCATCACTCACTACATATCGATAAACCGTGCTGCATAAATTTATCTTGGTAGAGAAGAAAACGACAATTACCCTAATTATTCGAAAACAAATTATTCATTCATGTTATTTAAATTAGAAAACTGTCAAGTGCGGGAAGGTAGAATTAAAAGAGAAATACTCTTTACTTGTTACAAATAGTAATAGTATTAAAATATTTCAATAAAAACAATAAATAATAGTTGTGATCAATAATAAAATTAATCGATAGAAGATTCGGCAGTGTATTTAGTTGGCAAATACTTGTTATAACTATAAATGTATATTGACGTATAAGGGATATATTAAATAATACGATAACTAATTTTTCACAGTCTAACGTGATAATATTTTATACATATATGATCATATCTATATGATTATATATGTACGGAACCATATATGTATATGTGTGTATATATGCATACACATATACATATATATGGTCAGAATAACGCAGCGGCAACATAAGAAAGGACCTTTATACACACAAAAAAATCGCTTTTATAAAGCATCGACTTGAAATACTACTAATTGATGTTTACTTGATGTTTACTTGATGTACTGAATTCATCTCGCAGCACCAAAAACCATGTTGCGATGCCCAATACGGGTGCATCACTTAAAACTTTGTAAACTGACTCGCAACTGCAATTCTTTGGATATTTCGCATACAATTGTACAACGATGTATATAGATACGTACCGAAAACAAATTCGCTTTCAACTTCCCGCCTCAAAATACACAAAATGTATTTTGAGTGACTATTTTTTTTTTTCGCGGTCCGTTGCCATAACTCTATGAGCCACAGAGTGAACACTTAGGTATACATCTTCCAGAGACGGTGGAAGATATAGCCGCATATAAAATTTGCAGCAAATATTTGCTACGAACACACAGAGGTTTTGCTGGCTTGCTTTTTCCTCTCTCTTTCCTCGAATGCCAATTGTTCCGATCGGTCCACTGTAATTACGCCTGTAGTACGTACGATCATACATACAACATATATACATACACACATACGTACACCCATTATAATACAAGGTCAGTTTCTATAACATATTTCCCTAATGTGTTCAATGTGCAATAACCATTTCATGTATGTATATGCATTTGAGTGTGTGTGCGCGCGCGCGCGTGTGAGTATGTGTTTGTGTGTGTTGTGTTGTGTGTGTGTGTGTATACATACTATATATATATAGGCGTAGATTACGAAACCTTTGAATCTATTATACACAGACATGGTGTACCAATCCCAACAATGTTGTATAATCATATCGGAGGAGACCGAATTTTTAATAATTATTCATAAAGCCTCGCGAAAATCTGATTTAAAAAAATCATAATAATAAATTAAAGTGCTATGTCAATGACAATGTTTGATAATTTTCTTTCAAGATCTGTAAATTCCTCTCAATATGCATAAATGTTAACAGTTTTACAACCTTAAGCGTACAGACTTGAATCCATGAATCCGTTAGCTATCTTATTAATTATAGTCTTGTAACTACATTCATTATAATACAAATTTTATGCTACGTGAACCACAAGCATTTGTCAGTATCGATTTCAAGTTCAAGCACTCACATAGGCGCACTCTGCTTTTCTTGTTTTCGTTAAGTTTGGAAATTATACAAAATACCTCTTTCGCGTGCATATTGTGAACTGTATGTTATTGTGTTCCACGATTAAATATGCTAATAATTAAATATATTACGCAAGAGTATTATTATAAATAACAAAACAAAAACAAATCTAATTAATAATATAATAATAAGTGTGAAATTAAAACGAGCGCCTTCATCTCTCACAGAAAGCAAGGAAAATTATTTTTTTTTTTATCATTTTCGAGTTTTTCAATTATAAAAAATTATTACAATTAGGACTGTTCGTCATTCGGAGGCCACTGCCCGGAATGATTCCAATCCCAATCTTTGCCTTTCGGACGAAACTTGCTAGTACTTGCGGAATTATTCCAATCGCGATGAAAGAACTTCTTCTTAAAGTGATGTCGTTCGGGATCTGACTGTCGTTGATATTTCAGAGGTACCGAGGAGGATGTGCCGCTCGAAGGATTATTGCTGGATGGATTCGCAGGACGGGGACTAGTCGGGGAGGGTGTTCTCGGTGGTCCTAAAGCTTCGTCGGGTGAAGGAACTACGGGTGGCGGTCCCGTTACCGCGCTATCTGAACCTAATCCACTGTCAGGGCTTGTGTTCACACCTTCCGTTGATCGTCTACGTTTATCCAATTCTGTAGAAGCAAATGCGACCAAACGATCAAACCCTGAGCTAATGCGATCTTGCCAATCAGCTTCTCCATCTGCAAAATAAATCTCAATTAGCCACTGCAATTTACACTACGATTAATCACTACGCAAGCGACGTAAAATTTTCATAAAAATAAGCCATCAACGCGATACGAGTATAATAAAATTCAGGATTACTTTTTATTGTTATATCTATCGTTATTAATCATTTTTGTCATTCTTTTGCTAAATAAGAAACATGAAGTACATATGTATCTTATTATATATCTAATGGAGAATTGCCGAAATTCAAATATAAAAAAAGTCTGCATATATATATAATCTAATGACAAGCAATAGACACAATAGAAATGTGTATTAATAAAGCAAGGTGCTAAAATGCTTGATATATTTCTACTTAAATATTCTGATAAAGTGCACGTGGATATAAAAATCAGTTTTAACACTGAAATTGCAAAAGTGATAAGAATGATATACTCCTAAATCTCGAGAAGCAAATTAAATTTGTCAGCCGCGACATTACTACATCACTGCAAATGTGGATCGTATCATGCTGAAACGGATATAGATTAAAATATACTAATATTAATAGATGTTTCGTTTTACTAGCTGATTAAAAAGAAATCGATACGTTGAAAGTGAAACATGTGGCATTGTAGTAAAATAGAGAAGATAAAACTTTTCATGCAACATGCAGTAAGAGTAGTTCAGCAACGGAAATACATTTTCTTCAAGTTTCATTCAACATGCGTCTATGTACAAATAGTCCATCCATGAAATAGAATCCTTGCAAGTCTGACTTATTTTCATGGAAACTTTCGAATTATTACAAATTATTGCCTTTCATGTCTCTTCATTGACGGAATTGAAATGCGCCGCTCGTGCGCGCGTTTTTATCAAGCAACGAAGACTCTAAAATACGCTATGCAATTTACGAGATGGCTATAGAATCGAATAGCAAAATGAATTTTGACCCCCGTGGAACAACTCACCGGCGAGCGTACCGACGAACCAACCCACAGGCAGCCGTATTTTTTTGTCATTTCTCCTTCTGATATCTGTGTGTGTGTGTCTCAATCTCTAATAAAACAAGCCTCAGGGATTTTGAGATTGAGTATGTGACAGACAGAACTAACCGACAAACAGCTACAGTGCATCTAACAAATACAGCAAACAATAATAAAAATAAATATAAATAAAAGTCAGGTACCAGCTCCGTAAGATAAGCTAAACCATTAGTGCGTGTAAATACGTGGAGAGATGCATAGAAAACTATCGTTGTAATTGCAACGATATCTAGAAAGATCTAAGCAAAGTGGCGTTCAGCATTGTATAGCATGAAGATTTTAGTTTTTTTTTTTTTTTTTTTAGTTCGACAGTCGACCATTCTGTCTTTCATTACGCAAAGTTGATAATAAAATAATAAGACAAATGCATAAAAAAATATTTTTTGAAAACCAAATCAAACTAACGATTGAGACGTCGTTACAACACATTGAAATTTTCATGAGCATTTAATTGTATTTATAATTGATTGCAAATATATTTGTCTCAATTCGCACATCTAGAAGTATATCTCATCAGCATTTAACAGCTCGCTTCACGTATTACGATAAATCTTCTAGCTACTGTACGGAAGCATATTCAATTAGAATACAGATTCATTCCAAAGCATATGTTTTATACTAATATTCAAACTAGTCATATCAGAAAATCTCAAAAGTCGTAAGTCATTCCACTTACCGTCGTCCCCCACAGCGCTTCGCTGCCTCTGCGTTGTCATTTGTGGTTCGTCGACTAGCGGCGTCGATGTATTGGAATGCGGTTCCACGAGAGGACTCAGCGGCGCTCCGCTAGTGCTCACCGACGACACAACCGCTTCCGTTTTCACCGACATCGTCGGTTGCGATTGACAGATCGCAGTGCCGCTTGTTGTTGCGCCGCCGCTACTATTACTGTTTGTAGTGTATCGCGGATACGGCTGAAATCTACGAGAAAACAACAGAGACATTACGCTCAAAGCAGGTCGATATCAATCGGACGATGTTCGACGCTACGCTCAAATCGTTTCGCTACCTTCTGCTGGAAAGCGTCGACTCGGTTTTGCCGTTATTATTGTGATTATTCAGTATTCGAGCGTGCAATGACGCCGCGAGCCCCTCTACGGGTAACAATTCCCCGTTTGACGCGCTCTGAGACGAATGCAGAGGCGGTGTCGCCGGATGGGGCTGCGTGAGCGACTGAGAAGGATCCGAGAAATAGGACTCGTGATAAGGTTTGATATCCGCTCGCGGCAGTTGAACCGGTGTATACCTGAAGGAAACAACTCGTCTGCATTCCAAGTCTTATTCGATAAGTTTCACTGGGGGAAAAAAAAAAACCACGACAAGGTCGAGAAATAAATACCTTTGTGATTGCGTAACCGGAGTGAAGAGCACAGATGATCTTGAGCTAGTCGTCGGTGTGGAGGTGGAGGCTCCCGAAGAAGTGGGCGCGTAACTAGCCACATGCGCCAAAGTCGACAGACCCGCGTCACCTTCGGCACTCGCCGGCCTACTGATAGGCGAGTACACAGTTTCGGGTCTCATCATCGTGCTGATATCAACGGCGGCGTTTATTATAGACTGATTGGATATCTCGAGCGTTCTCTCTATTTCCCCGCTCACGAGATCGCCAATCGTTCTCGTGCCGAGCAACCCGCTGCCGCTCGCCACAAGCCGATTGTCGTGACTCAGTGATTGTCTGGAATCGACTGCCGATCTGTCGGACGATGTCAAATGAGACGACGAGAGGCGTTCTTGCGAGAGATGACGGCGAAGCGCTAGCTTCGCGGGTGAAACCTACAAAATCGAATATTGATATTTCCGAAATTGTCGCGCGCGGAATTGCGCGCGGAATTACGCGCGGAATTACGCGCGGAACGCGTTTGTAAAAACTAAAAAAAAAGATACATGTTTAACGAAAGATGAGCATCATCTTCGATCAGTCGGTCGTTTACCTGAGTGTAATCCGGGGTGGAAACATTCTGCGGCAACGGAATGCGTTTTCTCTCGGATTCCGACTGGTTTTGTAATTGCAACTGCATCTGCTGTTGCTTATTCCTGTTTTGCTGATCCTCGTTCAGCACACTCGTGATGATGCTTTTCAGTCTGTCCTCAAAATTCGCGACCCTCGGCGGCTCCTGAGTTCTACTCGACGCGTCCTTATTGGTCATCTGCGATTGCGTGGACGAAATGGAGGATGATGTGGTGGAGAAGCTAAGGGACGCCTGCGACAGTCTGGTTCGGGAATTACTATTGCTATTCGCGCTCTGTCTGCTCGGAATGCGACCCGCCTCTATTTGCCTTCCCGTTTCCAAAATCTTTTGCGCCAATATTTCCGGATTATTCTCTTGTATCTTGCCTATATCCGGAACGTCGGGCCATTCCTGCGACCTCGAGCGGCCTTCCCTACTTTTTCGCGATGCTCCGTTCTTACTACCCGGCTGTTGGTGTAAGTTTTGCGAGTGCTTGCTTCCTATCGCGTCTCTCTGTTGCTGAGCAATGGCGGCTACTACCTGCTTTTCGTTGCTCGTTCTCTCCAACACGTTTAACTCGTGTTCCAATTTCGAAACCTGTTACATAAAGCGGGTACAATCAGTTTCAAAAGAAATAAATACGCGTACCTATGTGTGTGTACATCCGCGTGCAAAACAAGAAAGCGGAATGGAAAATATTAAATAAAATACACACTTGAGAATGTAATCGTTTACGCTGAGACAAGGTGGCGGAAATTTCTTTCAATATGTAATCCTGAGTGAGCGATTGAGGTGGATTTGTCATGCCGTTTGCGTTCGCGTGTCCGTTATATTTCTCCTGCAACTCTTGATGTCTGAGCGCCACCAATCTGCTCTGTTCAGTTTCCATAGACGCCACTTGCGCTTGCAACTTGCTCGCTTTAGCCTGCAGCTGTTTGTGTCTCAGAACTATCTCTTTGGCTTTCGCTAATAGATCACCCGGCGACGTAGCATTGATACCTAATTCAGTCATTCTAGCTTTTAAGAGAGCTACGCTATCGTCTATCAAGACTTTGATCTGCTTCTCCAATTGCGCCGCTCTCGACTGGAGCTTGGAGTTCCTTTCCCTTTCTTTCGCGATATCCGTATTGACGGATACTTTGTAAGTCGGCATTCTCATTGATTCTAACATAAGCATGAATTGGTCCCTGAAATTTTAAAAATATGTTTTTGTTTCCATAATACACAAAGCATTGATAAGACTTTGCAATTGGCCACAAAATTAGAAAATATAATTACTGGAATACAAAATTAGAAAATACAATACTAGATATCGACCCAAATGTTAAACGTACTTTGAAATTTTTACAAGACTGAAAAAACTGTTGCAGTCGATACCGCGAAATTTACAAGAATTTAATCACGCATAAATTAGACAATAAATCTTCGAAGAAAACAAAGTTCAAATCCGATAATAAACCTGAAAGAAAAGTGCAAAATATTTCGAGTGACGAAGATGATAATTTCGTATCAATTGGAAAGAGAAAAAAATTGATGTTTTAGAATCCACCAGTGACAAAGAGTAAAACTGAAATAAATTTTCCCGCACTTTTATTATATTTCTCGCGCTAATACTAATAAAAAAAAATGTTAAACAAAAATTTTCACAACCTAAATATCTGTAATATTTAGATACGATTTTTATTGCGCGACAAAAAACCGCGTGAAAAGTCGGTGTGTCTCTCTTCGTAAATCGAGAGACAGGTGTACTAGACAAATGTTGGAGATACCTGTACAAGTCCAGGAGTATTTGTAGAGCGTAAGGAGTTGCGGACGGAGCGGGTGGTATACTGAGTTCCTCGTGCACCGAGGTGGAATGCGACTGCAAAGAAAGCGACAGCGAAGACAGTTGTTGATCTACACAACCAGGAGCAGGTGGAGGCTTCTTCCCAAGAGCTTGAGGTGACGTGCTAAGCAAAGTTTGACTGTGCAACAAGTCGAGACCAGATATATTGATCGCCTTTTTCGGCTTGGCTCTCTTGACACCCCTTCCTCTCTGTCTACCTCTGGCCGGGGCCCTCGTAATGCCATTCGTAGTTTTTCTATTGAACTTCCGCCGAATTTTGTTCGACTGTCGACGACTCTTGATGGTGGTATCATCGAGATCAGAATCGCTATTCGTTCCTTGCTGCTCCGAATTGTTCGGACTGTCTAATTGCCTCGAAAGGTCTCTCTTGGCTCTGTCAGCTCTGTCATTCCTATTAGAAACCTTACTACTATTGCTGGCAGTGTTACTTATCACAGAATCAGAGTTTTCATCTAAGCCACCTTGTTTATTGTTCTTCAAGCGGTGGAAGTAACGTTCTAATTTAGTTCGATCGATTACGTGCAAATAATACGACACCGGCTTACCAGTCCAAGAAACGGAGCCTTTTAACGGTGACATTTCTGAGACATGCATTATTGTGCCGATATCTAGACAATAATATCGTAAAATTAAAATTGGTGAAAAGCGCGGGAATTCTTAATGCACAGGTATTGATACATTACCACTTAGATTTCTGTCCGTTATTCGAAAGTTTAACGGACAGAACGACTTCGAGGATACTATACGAGCGCCATCGCGTAAATCAGCAAATCGTTCCTTCAACTGATGATCGACTGTTGGACCAAACGCAAAATTATTAACAAACACTATCGTAGCTCCGGTAATACTTTCACGATGTTCGTCCACTAGAAAGTCTCCCTTGATTAAACGATATTCGCCGCATCGTTTTCCGTACCAGTTTAACCATTTTCGAAAATTTATTTCCATGCTCTGTAATGCCAACAATTAATTTATTCACAATGCAATACAATATTCAACACAATAATAAACCCATTAGTATGATATTCATTGATTATAACTAATAATTTAGCTATAAATATATATTTAACTATTCATATAATGTACCTGTGCATATGTAGATGGTACCTCAGCCCTCTCTACACCAATACAAATTTTGCATAAAGTCAACGCCGCCATTTGCAGAACGACTTGACCAACTCCGGAACCTAAATCAACAAAGACATCGTCCTCCGTCACACGTACTTGATCGATCATCTGACATACAAGGTCGTAACTCGTTTCGCCGTAGACCTCTGGTGAAAATGGCTCATATTGATTCAACTTATCTGGTTCAACCACAGCTTGATTATAAGTTTGTTGAAGTATATGACGAAGTAAACCTCTACTAGGTCTTTTATTTAGCCTCTGGGATGGTAAACTGGTGCCTTTTTCCTACAGTCACGTATCAACACAAGAAAATTTAATCGATACTTGAACTTACACTGTACACATCTCCAAATATCGCTATAATTGCATAATCAAGATAATCATACCAATTGTACTAAACTATCGATGGCTCTGTTGAATTTGTCACATAAGCTTTTCATACTTTCATAATTCTTCGGATTATAGTCGGAAAAAATATTATTCTCTAAAGGTAATTTCAGATCAGGCAAATCTTCGCAAACCCAGCGCATAGTTTCGATAACATCCAATGCTCCATCCAAACGATCCTATAATACATAAACACATGCGTGTAATATTCAGTATAAGCGTAACGTAGCGCAACAGAGAGATGTGATATTGAAATAATCTTGAAAAACTATTTAAAAAAATATGCTTTACAATATTCGAGATAACATAAATGAGATTATGTGACTAATTGGCTGGAATAAAAGTTCTCTGTTAGAAAATAATTATTAAAAATAATTGTTAGAATTAGTCATAATTGAACTCGTTGATTATCACTATCCCACTCTCACTTTGTCAACTACACGTCAGATCACTGTGTGTAGTCATGATCATTTTTTTTTTTCTGATTTCAAAAATCTACTAACTGATCCTGATCCAGAGGTGAGAGGCCATTGATACACAATTGGTTCCGCTCCTGCTGGCGAGTGTAAACGCAACTCCATTTTACTGGCAAATTCTTTTCCTCGCACCTCTTCGTGTATCCGAAACGAAGATGGGGAAAAAAAATGCACGCGCACACGCACGCACGCACGCACGCACGTATACACGTACGTACGTACGTACGCACGCAAGGCGCTCTATCCGTTTCGATCGGATCCGAAGGATCCGTTGGATTCGCCTTCTCAGGGTGGCGTGATGTAACCACGCTGCTGATGGTAACGTCGTCAGATGCTGTCAGTCGAACTATTGGGATAATCAACGGCGAGGCAGTGCTAACTGACGATGGTGACGAGCAATCCGATCGATTCCTCTGTTTCGCACTACGATACAACCACCGCGTAGACGACGCTCGCGGACCCCCCCCGCACCGCGGCTACTTCCTCGGACATGAAAACGTCCGTGCGCTCACGTACTGCAAACCTTCTACGAGGACGAGGGTTATCCAGCCTCGCGCGGTGTACATGCAATCGACGAGCTACCGGAAGGGTGCTGGGGAATCCGCGACCGGCCAAGCCACTAGGAACCACCCGGAACGTGCGTTGTGCATCCAGAGAAAAACACTCGCTAAAAAACACGGGCTATTGTGCTGTACGGCGAAACAGCGTTCGAGGGGGGATGACGACATCAAAACATGGCGAAGATGGCGTCATGCCTCTTCCGTCTGCCGTGCATGCTCTTTCGACGGCACATCCGATTCAAATCATGGGTGTCGCACGCTTCGAACTGCCGTTTTCTCGCGCTTATGTGCTAAAAAAAGTTACGGCCATTCTATTTTTTTCCATGCATGTATTATCCATTGTAAAAGCCATCAACTGGAAAAAAATGGACTCAAGAGTGTCTAGTAACTTCTCATATGTTTCTTTTTGTGTTGTCATTTTATAGCCACCTCTCTAGCTAGTTCCTTTCTTTTGGCGATTTAAAAAGGATGGCAATACAAAAAAACTTCCTAGATGAAAATTTCTAAACTTGGTTTCTTCCCGTTAATTAATTTGGTAACACTGCGATCAGTTGTCACTGGTTATTACTGACGTTTTGTAACGTTATTTAACGTTTTGCAACGCTTTTAGATATTTCTATTGTAATCTGTAAATATACTCCGCAACTAGATTAAATAGACAATACTGACGTAGTCATGACGGAGGAATGGAAATTGGATCATCGCGGCAGAAAGAGAATCAGGGAGGTGAAGAAGAAGGCTCGACCAGGTGAGGAAAATGAAATTTGCAATTTTATAACCTACATTATAAAGCGGCAAGGTCGTGCATTGATATCGCTTTCCTTCCATTTCCATATCATTTATTCGTTGTACGCAGCGTTAAACGTTTGGCTTGACGTGTAGTAAAAATCGTATCGTCCGCCGACTCCATACAATCCTTTCGGAGGATCAGGCGAAAGCTATCGTGTATCTTCCCCAAGACCTTGGATGATGTAATTTCATTTCCCGATAATCTCAATTTACTTATCATTTCCAAGTATTTATTAATTTGATTTCATATACATCTTGAATATTAGAGATTCCTGTGGAAACGTTCATCGATATTGATGTTATTTTGATTTTATACAAATATTTAAATGATATACACAAGTTAAAAAGTTAACGATTTAAAAAAATAATGTATCAACCGTTTTTAGAGCTTGCGGATAAAATAGCTTGGACCCAGCAGGGGTACTATAAAATTTTTCAAACGTTTTGGGAATTTCAAGATAATGCTGACCGAATTAATGAATCCGACATGACTATGGCAGAATTTGTAGAAAAATATGAAAAACCTTACAAGCCTGTGATAATAAGAGGTGTTCAAAATGGCTGGAGGGCACAGCATAAATGGACTATAGAGGTTTCTTATCATAACTTTAACATACTCAGAAAGATTATATCTTTAATTGCTGCATTCTAAAATCATTGTCCGGATTGATTGCAGAAGTTAGCAAAGAAATATCGCAATCAAAAGTTTAAATGCGGAGAAGATAATGAAGGATACAGTGTAAAAATGAAGATGAAGTACTACATACGTTATATGTTTAATAACGAAGATGATTCTCCTTTGTACATTTTCGATAGCTCATTTGGTGAGCATCCAAGACGAAAAAAATTATTAGAAGATTATGTAATTCCTAAGTACTTCCGAGATGATCTTTTTCACTATGCTGGAGAACATCGAAGGCCACCGTATCGTTGGTTTGTCATGGGACCCGCAAGATCTGGTAAGTGCATACGTGAGAATTTTAGTGCAACAAGATTATCAATATAAAAACGATTCTTTCTTCAATCAAAATCAATTTGTAACAAATATTAAATCAAAAATCTATCGTAACAAATTTATAAATCATTTGATATACTGCATATATAATTTGGTTTCACATTTAAAGATTATTAAATCGACAAATCATTGAAAGATGGTTAAATAAATCGATGCATCTCACTTGGGATAATTTTATTGTAACAGGTACGGGAATACACATAGATCCGTTAGGCACCAGTGCATGGAACGCATTAATTTCTGGTCATAAACGCTGGTGCCTGTTTCCTACGCATACGCCTCGCGAACTCCTAAAGGTAACCGCAGCCGAAGGCGGTAAACAGAGAGATGAAGCTATCACATGGTTTTCCATTGTCTATCCTCGCACAAAATTACCTACATGGCCAAAAGATTGTCGCCCGATAGAGATCTTGCAGACTCCGGGCGAGACTGTTTTTATCCCTGGCGGTTGGTGGCACATTGTTTTAAATCTTGATGAAACCATAGCGGTCACACAGAATTTCTGTTCGCGCACTAATTTTCCGGTAGTTTGGCACAAAACGGTAAGAGTTTCATATATCGCATCTGATAATTTTGAAATATCAGTGTAAAGTTACACGCAAAAATATTTAAATGATGAAGAATCTGCGAACTGTAATATTAAATTCATCGTGAAACAGGTACGTGGAAGACCAAAGCTGTCGCGAAAGTGGTTAAAAGTGCTGAACGAAAAAGAGCCCGAATTGGCGTCGTTGGCGGAGACAATAGACGTGAAAGAAGATACCGGTGTCGCCAGCGATTCTTCGAGCGGCTCTTCGAGTAGTTCTTCGAGCACTACCAGTAGTAGTCAATCCGAGGAAAGCGAAGATGACAGCGGTCAAGAATCACTTACCGCGCATAAAAAGAAAAAGAGGTACACAAAAAGATTCATAATCAAATTCCACTGTAATTACGATGTACTTTTCTTCTTTTACAATTTTTTTTTTTTTTTTTTTCGTGAAAATTACGAACATAAGGTGTAATACTGTTTTAAACTTTTCAGACGAAAATTGACTAACAGCCAACCCTGACAATATCCAGTATTTGGAACTTACAGAGACCTCAGACTGTACAGTATTAACCAACAATTATTGTTTGTACTAAGAATAAATATTAGAATTATTATGATTATTACGACCATATCTTTATGTTCATAATAAAATAAATATTAGATAACATGTCGTTTTTCTTCTTTTAGCTAACATCTTATTCGAGACTTGCGTTTAAGCGTAATATGATAATGCACGTAATTTTCTACTCTAGCCGATCACTCTTCACATCGTAATTCAATTCATCTCGTGAACAACACATTTTGCCTTGCGTGCTTTTTCGTGTGGCTATCACATTTTCTAATATTTATTTAAAACGCGGGGTCAAGAAGTATAAAAAAAAAGAATTATTTAGGGAATATCCTCAATATAGGATTAAAAAATCGATGCAATAGCATACTGTATAAAAAATACAAACCAACAATACATTAGGTGCATTATCATTAAATTAAAATCGTATAATTGCAAACTAAATACAATACGTAGTTGTGCGACGCGATGCATTAACTTTTCAGCGAGTTGCTCCTGTGGAAGGTCCTCCCATCTCGTTTACAGTAGTTCCACAATCTCACAGTTCCATCGCTTCGTATCGACACGATGACCATGCAAAGCACCAAAGTGGAGTAAACACATAGAAGCAAATAATAACATATAAATTAAACGTTTTCATTCACACAAGGCCGATGGACAATTACAATCGTGACAATATTGATTTCCGAGCCACTTTCACTTTACGCCGACTAGAATGACTTTGTACGATGTTGTCTATTATTTAAAAAAATGTACGTGTGAGGTTGAGGAATGTGACTCTTGTATATCTAAATTCGATTCTCCCAAAGAGATAGTGCGCTCGATTTTTTTCATATCGACTCTAAATTTTGCAGTGGCAATGAAATTACACACTGCGGAAAGTTGAGAACAAATGCTACGAAGCGTCTTCGTTAGGAGTCGAACACTGGTACAAATGTAATACTGCTTAAAACGATCGGGTGTAACATTCGAGGAATGTTATACAGGCGTGACAAATGATGCAGTCCTACTGCCACATTACGCGTGAAAACACGTTAGACGTTTTAAAACTGTTAGGTAAGCATGCGCATTACCACAAAAAATACAAGATGAACGCATAACACAGTGACGCACAGGCAAAAAGCAAATAAAGTTAAAGGGAAACTGTGGAGATAGACATAGATAATGAAGAATCGGGTATACGCCACAGCTTCACCTCTCCGGAGCTGAAATCAACATCCGAGATCGTTATTTCACTCGGAATATCGCAGCGCGGTCTGCTGAACCCAAGTACGCAGATCTAACAGAACGGCTGCGCGTTATTTAAATATCAATTTTTTTTTTGGGTCACAGCCGATATATAAAAGTTGTCAAGAGATCTTCTACTTACTTGCTCGCCGTGAATATATGCTGCTGATTCGTCGCGATCGCATTGATAGCGGACGCGTGCGCCCGAACCTCCCCGATGGGCGTGCATTCCCTCTGATCCTGGGGATCCAACGGATCCTTGGGGACGGACCATGCCTTCAGCACACCGCCGCGGCATCCCGAAATCATTATGGAACCATTATTGATCGTGCACAAGCCCAAAATCCAATCTTTGTGAGCGTTGTTCTGCGACTGAACCAGCTCCATCTTGCTTAGATCCCATCGTTTAATGCACATGTCTCTAGAGCCTGGAAAACGATGGGACATTAGCGCGCGATACGACTTAGGCCGACTTGAGCGGTTTTATCGTGAGGTGAAGTGACGCACCGGAAAACAGCGTGGAACCGATCGTGGTTAAGCATTGGACTCCGTCGTAGTGCGGCGGCGCCAAGCTAATGGACGGCCCGGACACATTGGGCTCGGCGAGCGATATCAGATGATCCTTGCTGCCGGCTATCACTCGGCCGTCTTCGGCGACGGCCAAGCACATAACCGCCGCTGTGTGCGGCGTGCTTAATCTGGCGGTGTACGCCAACTTGCGAAGATCCCATATGCGGACCTTGTCGCTGGACGCGGTGTACAGCTCCTGCTCGTCGAGGCTGAGCGCCAGGTCGTTGATCGTCGTCTCGCCCACGGGGACTTGGAGTATCCTGGACGGAGTCGACAGCGCGATGGGACCGGACTGCGTCTGGCCGGACGAGAACAGCGTCTTTATGCAGCCGTTGCTGGCTCTCAAGTCCCAAACCTTCACGTACGCCGAGGAGACGCTGAACAGGAGCCGGTGAACAGCGGAGTACTTCACGGCGACGACGTTGTTCGGGTGTCCGCTTAGAGTGAAGCTTTCGATTCCCGTTCTCAAGTCCCACACCTTCACCGTGCGATCTGCAAATCCGCGGGATAACTTCAATCGATCGCGCAATTATTGCGCGCGGGTATTAATTTTCTCTCATATCAATCCCTGCAATCGCATACCTTTCGAGCCGCTGAAGAGCAGGTCGGGCGTCACGCATATAGTGAGGACGGCCTTGCTGTGTCCTTCCGCCACGTGAGAGCATTGCAGAATTGCCCGCGGTTGCACCTGCCGGAAAAAAATTATCGCGTTTAACGCTCGACTCCGCAAGAGCGCCCACGAGAGGCTCGTGCGGTTCGCTCGCCCCTCACCTTGCCCTGATATTGCGAGATGATTCCCTTCATCGGCTGCGGCTCGGAGGCGATCGGCTGCCTGCTCGCGGTCAGCCTGGAGAACACGTTCTCTTCGCGGCTGTTGAATCGCCTATACGTGGTCGGCGATCCGGGCGGCGAAGATATATCCGTGTGCGCTACCTGCTCCCTAGTAGGTGTGTTTGTTATGTTAGCGTGTTAGTCGGCCGGCATTCGGCTAATCCGGAGGCTAATTAATCATGCCGACTCGAAAAGGTGTATTAAACATGCATGTGTGTGTGTGCGCGCGGAAGAAGTAGCGGGTTATATCGGTCTCTGGTTGTTTTGGGGGGGTGGCGGGGGCGGAAAATTATGCGCATATAAGGGTTGGTGCACAATCAAGCACAGTTATTAAACTTCAATCATTATCAAATGCAAATTTCGTACTTAAACAGCTGATAAGTAAGAAATGGTACGTCGCGCCGAAAGGTGCTTCGATGGCTGTCGTATCTGCGCCTCTTGTTTTAAATTTTGTGTTCATTTTATTATTTCTTTATCCTGCATGTTACAGAAAATAGAATCTTACGTCTATACATGTAAATCTCTCGTATAAATTAATGTCTTTTCTTATTGCAACTGTTAACAATATATTAACACATAAGTTAGAAAGTTATAGATAATAATATATTGCCAAATTCTTCGCCCTAATTTACGTATCCTACGAATTAATATATATATTTGCGTATCTTATTTGTAGACATATAAATTCAGCTTGTTCGTTAAAAATGCCGTTTGAAAGCGAAATATTGTACAAGAGCAAGATGCGGCTGTTGTGGAAGACGCTGTACATATCCGTGTATAAAAGATCCTTTTTTTTTTTACAATATAACGCTTGTAGGAATCTATCGTGGCTTATCGTGACATAAGTATTGGAAAGCTCACAGATACTTTGTACATGTAATGTAAACTCCTTTTTGTGTAACGCATTTGTGTGTGTACGTATAACAATAAATCAAACAATTTCTCTCACGTGTAACCTGCGGCATCTAAGACTATTTCGTGCTTATAATCACTTTAGTATGTTGCACTGATTGTTAATTATTGTATTCATAAGCACGAAATACTTGCACTTGATTCCTGTGTCTTCGGAATGGAAATCAACAAAATAAAACTCATCTCGGGTGAACAAAAGTGTTGAATAGTGCATGGAGTAGGGCGTCAAGACAGAGATATGCGAGGAATACAAGAACAAGGATGTGCTGCAGGATAATCACTCACATGGAACCTCCACCCGGGTGAATCGGCCGTCGCAGAGCTCGGGGCGATGTGCTGTCACGACGGCTCAGGGTTGGCGATCCGCCGGTATTACCATGCTGATTTCTCGTTAACACTAATCCTCTGGGGTGCACAGAAATGATATATAAACATACAGGATCGTCTAAACATTCTCACGTACAACTTAAACGAGACGGTGAATTGCAATCAGGTTGATTTTAGTGCGTGTGTTCACAGTAGGAACCGATAGAAATCTAGAGAGTCTAAAGTCTCTTAAGCGTGCTTACTTGAGGCTGCCTGGCGCGCTGGGGACTCTTGTGAGAGGGTGATTGTGATTTTGATTTTGATCGTCCGCCTTCATGTTTTCAGGCGTGTGAATACCGTAGAGCAGTTCTTGCGGCTGCGTTGTTCTTCTTCTGACCTTACTATTGCGCGGCTTCTCTTCACCGAGTATAATTTGGCTGTAACTTTCACTGTCGAATACAAACACAAATGAGAATGAATTGCACACGAATCGAGGCGAAGTATCGCGAGTGATCTCTATATGTATAAAAAATTAATTGCATACAATCAATACAAATATTGTAAAAGAAAGAACAAGAAATTTGATTGAAAATATTTTTGAAAGAGTAAAATTGTCTCGCAAGAACATTGTGCTGTGCTCGACTTACGTGTCGGGAGAAGAACTTCTCGAGCTCGCCGGGCTGTAAGCTAGCGCGTTGTTTTGATTATTCGTGAGCGTCAAAAGGTCTCTGTCGCGTAGAACGTGCTCGAGTAACTGGTGTTGCACGTCGCTCTCTTGCGCCACCTGATTCAGCCGCGATTCCATATCTCGCACCTCGAGCTGCTTCTGCGCGGCTATGCAGCTTTGCTCCACGGTGAACGCGAGCATCCGCTGGAGTAGATACTGCGCCTCGTCCACCGTTCGGATCGTAGAGATGAGCGCTTCGACGCCCGGCTCGCCCTCCGCTTCGCCATCGCCCATCTCGACCATGTCTCGTTGACACTCCGCGATGCTGTCCTGCAAGAATCTCGCGCGTTTTAGTCGAATGTGAGGTTAGGTCCGGTCATCGAACTAACGGGATTGTCGTTACCTGCAGATAGCTGATTTTGCTCTTCACATTGTCGATCTCTTCGTCGATATCGACAGTGTCACCTCTCGTGCTCGTGATCTGACTTCTATGCTTCTGAAGCTTCTCCAAATCCCTTCCCAACTCTTGCCTCTCCTGAAGCAGTCTTTCCATTTCTCTCTCCGTTTCCGCGGCGGCTTGCTTCGCTATCGCCTGCTTGGTGATCGTTCTCTCGAACGTCTGCCACCTCTGCTTCATCGCTTTGGGATTGAGCGGTTTCACCGGCGTGCGTCCCGCGGCCTTCTGACTCAATCCTCTGTCTCTCTTCCGCAGCGCCGTCACCTCCTCTTGCTTACGTCGCAGCACAACCTCCTTCATTCGCTTGTCGGCTTCCAGCGTTCTGATGACGTTCGCGTGCCTGCGGCTTTCCTTCCGCAACTGCGCTATTTCTCTATTACGCCTCAGTTCGTTTTCCTTGTGCCGCTGAGCCTCTTCTCTCATCTTGTTCAACAGTTTCACTTTGGCTCTCTTCATCTCCGACAGCTCATTTCTAAGACCTCGCAGTCTGTTTTCATTCTGAGATTGATTCTTCAGTAATCTCGCGTGTTCCTTCTTAGCAGACTGAAGAAGCCGCATCTCCTTTTGCATGTTGGACAGCTTCTTCTCATACTCGTCGCGTAACTTTTTCACTTTCTCAGTGGGCGGCGCGGGTTGCTGTTGCAGCGACAGCAAGACTTTATCTCTTTCCTCTTGCGTGTCTCTGATGCGGGCTTGCAGCTGCGCCAATTTATCCTCATAATGCTGCTTCATAGTTTGCAGACGTCTTTGAGAAAGCTCGAGCTCTTGTATCAAGCGCTGCTTCACATCGATGTCGGACGTTAGCGCTTCCAATTCGCGACCCATGGCCGCTTCCTCTTCGTCTTCCTCTGTAAAAATAACGAACGATGTAACGGAAACGTCCGCGCCGAGCAGCATATGTACTTAAATACTTCTATTCCCCGATGTTACGCTCCTGCTAATAGCACATAAAAGACACTGTAAATAACAGAACATTCTGCTTGCCTTTACGATCGGAGTCGTCGTCCGAATCATCCTCGCTTACAGAGTCCTGGCCATTCTCCGTATCGTCCATTTCTCCTTCGTCCGGTTTAGCGATCGTGCTGCCGCTGTACTGCCCCTTTAAGACTTTTAACGCCTCTATTTCTTTCTCGACGTCCTTCTTAGCGTCGAACAACACGGACGCGGAATCGGAATGAAACGAACTGTCGCCGTAAGGATTTGCCGCGTTAACCTAAACGGTAAATCACCAATGTTTAATATTTTGTGAGCAAATCTATGATACTTTTAACGTTGAAACTTACTTGCATCTGCCTCTTTTTTAATTGTTGATACATAGCTTCCGCTTCCAGTAGACGGGCTCTTAATTCTTCTATTTCTTGAACATATCCTTGCACCAAACTAGTCACCTGATCATCGCCTCCGCCGGATGCCGCCATCCACTGACCCGTTGCCTTTTCCGCCAGCAAAAGAGCATTTTTAGCGGTCAACGCCTCAACAGTTTCCGAAAGTGCTTTCACTCTGGTCCGAAGACTTTGTAATTCGCTGCTCAACATTTGATTCTCGTGCCAGGCATCGTTAACTCCATCTTCGCCGACGACCCTCTTGCCTGGAAAAACGAAAGAAATTAGCGTTACGGCGTTACGAGGAGTCCCCGTCAAACATACCTTGTCTATATTCCATCAATTCCAATTGAAGCTGTTGAATTTCTCGTCGTAGCGAAGCGATCGTTCTCGAGCTCTTATCTTGATTGATTGTAACTTTGTTCTTTATATTTCTCGCCCGATTCGCGTATTTCAACGTGCTCAGGGTCTCCATAAAATCCCTATCGCTCGGCGACACACACGCTATCATAACGGTTTGACTGTTTCCTGGAAAGTTCATTTCAAAATCAATCATAAAGTTAAACAACACGTCTGATCCTAAAGCGCTTTACCTCCGAGAGAATCTTGGAGTAATCTCGTCAACTTGGAATCTCGGTACGGTATGTGCGAGGCTTTCTTCGTTTTATCACCGAGAGCGGAAATGACATTGCCCAAAGCCAGCTGTAAAGGAGACGCAATGCACGCAATTACACGAGCACTCCTTTTTTTTTCTATCTCCGAAAGAATCTTACCAATCCACAGTTTATAGAGATGCCTTCCTTCGCTCTGTCGCCGGTGGCGCCCGTTCTCTTCAGTCTTTCGGAGCCGGCCAGGTCGACAAAGTGAAACTTCGCGGTTAAAGTTTCGAACTCGTTCGCCAGCTCGACGCCGCTCGTGTCGACGTCCGCGTCGGGATCCTCGACTTTGATGCACCTCTGCTGTTTGATGTACAGCGTGAATATCGCGTGCGACCTGGACGACTGCGTGTTCATTTGCGTGGATCCTGTCGTGCGCGACAGCGCGCCCAGTCGGAGATACTCCAACGCCTGCTCGGGGCTGGTTACGACGCGCGGCTCCACCCCCGCTAAATGTATATTGCCCGCCGTGTCCTCGTGGATGCGCGCACCGCCTCTCGGGCCTCCCGGCTCCAGCAAATCTTTCAAATCCTCATTGTACAATTCTAGGAACTGCGCTGTGACCTAATAATGAGAGACGCTACGTTATTGCGGATTGAAGGCCGCGAACAAGCACGGCGAGTACAAGATGATTGGCTTCCAGCATCGATTGAACCGACGGTTCAAATTTATCGACGGAATTGCTAATGTTCATTAAAATCGTAAACCATCGCTTTCCTTTCCGACGACGACGGTCTCCTTCGTATTAGCAATTTTTGTCGACAAGTTTGAATCGTCGATCCGAATCGCCCTTCGCGGACCTTGAACTCGGGAGGCATTTGCGCGCGTTCCCTCGCGCGCTCCTGTTTATCCGTTATTCCGTTGAACAGGTGTTGAATGGCCCTGGGAATTATTCCGACGATGAATTCGTCGACCTCGACGTCGAAACCGGTGCCCATGGTGTAGGTTTTGCCCGAGCCGGTCTGCCCGTAGGCGAAGACCGTCGCGTTGTAGCCGTCCAGCGCGCCTTCCACGAGACGGTTCACGCACGTTTCGTAAATCGTGCTCTGATCCGACTGCGTATCGAAAACGTAATCATACGTAAAGGCCTTGTCGGGGCCGAGGAAGACCTGCGGCTCCCCTTGAGGTACCTGAGTACAAATCCTGCACATATCGATCACTTCGCGGGCTACTTGAGGCCTTATTCTGCAACAAACAACGATTATCGGTTGAATTTTTTCGCCGACTTATCAGACTCCTTCCTCCGCTTAATCTCAATCGCCGAGATGATAAAAAAAAATAAAAAAATAAAGAATACATCGCGAGCTTGCTCGATATCGGCAATATATTGGCGATGAAGGTCACGCTTGTCACGCGTCCCCGGCTCGGACGGTGCGCGCTTTCTTCGGCGAGCGGTAATTAAGCCTACGCGTTTGCATCGTAAAAGGAGATGCTCGAGAATCGGTACTCGCGATCGGCGAGGCGCTGCGCGTAACGAACCCATTCGAGTCCGAGTTTCCCGTCGTGATGTAACTTGTGCGAAAAATCTCCCACTTTCATTCAACCGCATTCTGTCCTGTACTTCTCGCCTTATGTAAAGTTGGCGGAAAATTCTGCGAATCGCGCGATAACGATAAGCAATTATTTCTCAAGCAACGTTCCCATATTAATCCGCGACTCCGTAATGTCAATCAGTGCTCGATGCTGAAAGAATGAGACATAAAAAAAAAAAATACATTGCGCTTTCCGAAAGCGTCGAATTATTCGTAATGATTTGGGAGAAACGCGGATCGAAAACACGCGAGAAATGATTCGCTCGTTCGACGACCGAGGCATCCCCGCATCGGCTGTCGATTGACACCGGCACGGATCGAATGGACCAAAAATTGAAGCAGCTTCACACGCGATTGTGCATTTTACTCACCGCACGGCGACGCGTACGCTCGAATCGTCCGCCATCTCGCCAAGTCCGGCTATCAGTCGAGTATGCACAGGGATTATGAAGGCAGCTTCGGCTGTGTTAGGCTAATATTAGGCCAAAACAATCCCACCGTGGGTGAACAATCACAATTCTCCGCTGTGCGACAATGTCCACGACGCTGTACCTGCGCACGCGTTACCAGACGCAACGGCTGTGAAAACTTGACATTCCTCATAAGCGATACGCGAAATACCGCACATCTTCCGTGACGTTCGTAGCGATCGGAAGGCGATTCACTGTGCGCGACGGACGTCGGAGCCAGTCGCCGGACAATAGCGGGGTGGCGTGAGAGCTCGGTCTGCCTTCCGATTACCTGTCAGCGCCGTCATGGTTTTTAATGGAATCTGTGTGTGTAGCAAATTTCATTGAGAGAGAGAGAGACTGTGCAGTGTTACGCACTGGTGAGGGAAATCGTTAGCGTAGGAGCGACATACCTGGTTACAGGCACGAATAAAATGAATGCACATATCGAAATGTTGAGGTAAGACTGCGCGCTATCTGTCATTGAAGCAATTGAAACACGATGGTGATCCGGTCGATAAACCAATACCGACGATATTTATTCGTTATCGACATAAAAATGTCATCTCTATGGGAAATCTAGTAATAATTTCAATAAATTCACCGTCTTTCTTATCACCGGCGTATATAATCCATGCTTTAAAAACAATTTTTTTTAGTAAACATAGCTTGCAAATATCTTATTGTGCTAACGTTGTAAAATTATTTCTATACTTTTCTATACAGGAAATGTCATGGTTGAATAAGCAATAATCTAGTTCTCGTATGACTGCTTTAATATCTCACTGGAATTCAGATTACTGTGAAGAAATGCAACGAGTTCAGGACATTCATCTCGAGAGAGACTACAAAAATAGGCGCAATAATTTAAAAGGTATCAGATCCAGTTCCCGTCTTAATTTCTCTTCTTGTTGAATATTGTCAAACCATCTTGATACATGAATATATTGTGCCTTCTCCTGATAACTCAATTCTTTCTATAAACAAGAATAAAAATTTATTAAAAAGTATCATATGTGTTAAAAACTTACAAAATCAATTATTACCATTGTAGAATGTAGAATGTAATACAATGTGACATCTGCGATAGTTTTCTCTGTGCCAGTTATATATGTCACATCCTTAAATGTTACATTTAATTCCTATAATTAAAAAAAAATATTAATATTCAGCTTTCTACTTAACTATGCTTCATGTATAAGCATTCAAATATTACATTGAGTACTCTCTTGGCATTAACAGGTAGATCCGCATGATTGACACAAACTATAGCATATTCTAACCACTGTTGTGTTAGCGCTTGCACTTCTTTCTCACTGCCAAGTATTTCAGGACATTTTGAACTCCTTACCAGCGCTTGTATAATAGTGCTAAAACCTTGAATGGGTCGAGAATTATTTTTACATTCTGGAACAAGTACTATCTGAAATGATAAAATGTGGTTCAATATATTATAGTTGTTCATTTGATAAGTTTGTTGAATTTTTGGTCTGATAGCATCTCTTGCGAAAGAATAATCTCATAAAAAATTTACAGTTCAGCTGAAGTTTACATATACATGAGACATGCTCCAGACATCTGATTTAGCAAGTTAGCAAATGTACTCACGCTTTTATTAGAGATCTCCAATTTTCCTGGAGAAACATCCAGATACTGCGCTATTCTATGTACACATTCGATGTTACACAATCCCATAATAGATATGATACAAATACAATTTAAATTAATATAAATTAGATTGATTTTCTAAACTAACGACGAGAATTGTATAGGAAACTCGTCTGACCGATGCAACACGTGCGTCTGTGCACCAGTGATGCCAGTTGTAACAGTGTAGCCAGATTTGGCCCGGTTTTTCGCGCATGCGCGACGCGGCGAAGTGTTTCAGTTTAGTAAAAAAGGATGCCATATGGTACCCGTTCATTTAAAAAAATTATTTTCTGAAAAAGCAATAAAAAAATAAAGTATATTTACATATATTTATATTTATATGTATATGTATATTATTGACTTTTTTAAGGTAGGAGGATTTTTTAGGGATTATAATTATATATATTATCGTATACTTTCGTGGATTATAAAATACCAATAAAACAAGAGTGACAGGATAAAGAATAATTATTTAAAAAGAGAAATGCATCAATATGCATACATGATTTCAGATTGTAGACAAGCTGCGCTTATTACACGAAGTACGCCGCCAATTGTGCCATTTTGTCCTTCGGCGGCTTGGGTTTACCTCGATTACGACTTTTGGTGTGACCGCGGCCGCGCGTGACGACTGGTTTCGAAGCTACCGCGCGGTGCTTTTCTACTAGCGCGGCAAAAGCTGGCGTACAAAATACACAGCCGGACATCTCGGTCACTTCGTTGGGAAGTTTACTTTTATCCTGAAAATAGAAAATTAAGAAGATAGAAGAACATAGCGACGCGCTCATAACGACGTCGCGATGATGGAAATCTCTTCAACTACCTGTTTGTACTCGACGGTTACTAATTGTGCGCCACAATCACACGTGTCAGTATCTACTGTCACTTTGTGTGCGTTCTCAAATAGATGGATAATAACATCGCATCGATTACATCCCAATTTCCACTTAGGTGCGGCCGAAGGGTCCAGCACAAGAATGCCCAGATCGCATTCCAAGCAGCTGGATAATCCATTCGAGTTCATTCCGTGAGGACATGTCGGATGCGTGCACGAATTGCAACCGCTCATCCCTTTCTTCATATCCCTAAAATTAGCAGACGGAAGCTTTAATTTTCTTCCAAACATATTACAGTTCAACTACACAATTTAACGTGACACACCTGAACGGTGGATTGTTATAACAGTATGGACAAAATGTATAACTTTTCCCTCGCGTTCCGGTCGACCACGAAAGCAGCTCGAAGTCGTCTAATGGACACTTCAGTTCTTTATATATTCGTATGTTCCCATTTTGCGGCAAGTTGTACGTCTCATTACAGTGCGCACAATGCATTCTAGATGGTTTAGTTTGTATATATTTCATATATCGACGACATTTACCGCATCTGTAACGTAGATCGTAGCAAATTGAAAAATCAAGAAATAAATAGAAAATATTTATATAAAGTTATGGGAAAAAATTAATTGTTTGTGCATACCTAGAATGTGCTTTGCCGGATGCCGACAGTGGAGAGAACGAGACTTCAAACAGCTGATCCATAGCTTCTATGCTTTGCACGAAATAATGAAACTTTTGCTTGAAAATTTCTACGGTATGCTGTAAAACCGCATAAAAATCAGCACGACCCAACGCTATTAGATTTAATTGCTCCTCCACCGCAGTTCTCATTGTGGGCAAAACTAGCTCGGGATCTATCTAGTGTGAGAATAAAAATTTTATGAAAAATATCATTGTGACGTATCGAGAAGTCGAAATCTAAAGGTACCTTCTGGTATCCATGGACCAGAACGATGCCGAGAGAAGTGGGCACTAATTTTCTGCCTGCCGCAACGGTAACATAGTTTCTGATACAAATATTATTTATATGCACAGGAATCGAGGCGTCCGTCCCGATGCCGTGTTTCTCCATGAGAGATATTAATTCTGCCTCGGTCAGGTAATCGGGCGGTTGGGTGTAACATTCGACTAACTTCGCCTGCGAACGGTGAAACGAAGGGATACTTCTTTTTCTCAAAGACGCAACCGGAGATACAAATGTTAAGCGATAGAAATATTTTTCACCTCTTGCATGTTCACTTTCTCGTCGGGCGTGAATTTCGGCAGAGTGTCATTGTTGCCGAGCGCTTGCCAAGTGAGAATACTCGTGTATCCCGGATCCATCAAGCTGTGACCAGTCGTTGTGAATATTTCCATGCCTATCTCGAATTTTACCGTCGTACTCAAGTACTTGCAATCCCGCGCCAACTGTAACAACACAGAGAGAAGAGGAATAAGCGTGTAAAGGCTATTGTTTCAGAATAATGTCGACATGAAATGTACCGTAGCGATAAAATGTCGCGTTATATAATCGTACAATCTCCATGAATCGCCGTCGAGCTCGTTTCTGGTTGCATCTTTCATAGGAGTTATGGGAGGATGGTCACCCGCGTCGTGACCTTTCTTTGGTCGATTAATACCAGTCGCTAGTATCTTACGAACTTCCTTGCCCCAATCCGCATTATACTGCTGTTGTTTCAGTGTCGAACTTAAATAAAATGGTTGCGATAAAAACAAATCGCACATATTTGCAGACTGAATAATTATTCCGTGATAATCTTACAGTAAATCAAAGTTTTCACCATACGATGTCGTCTCTGTTCGGGGATAGCTTATGTATCCTTGGGTATAAAGCCTTTCTGCAATTTGCATAGCGTGCTGCGGACCCATTCCTAATCCAGAACTCGCAACTCGCATCAATTCCACTGTGTTTAAGGCTATAGGCCGCGATTTTGACTTCTCCGTACTTTGTATACTTACTACGCTATACATGATTTCGTTTATTTTAATCTTTCCAGTTTGCTAAGATTTCAAGAATATATAAAGAATATGACTCACGTCGCGCAATCATGTTCTTTAATATGGCTGAGAAACATGTTTGCAACTTCTTTATCAAAGGAACGAACACGGCTCCAATTTAATGTAACATCTTGACCATCGGAAGATTTTACGGATACCTGATAAAACAATGAGAAATTAATATTTTTTACTGTAAATAATATCAATCATAAGTTAAAATGTTTGATTATTTCAAAATATAGTTACGCACCTGTAACACCCAATACGGATCTGGCTTGAAGGTCTGAATCTCATCATGCCTTTGCACGCAGAATCCTAATGTTGGTGTTTGGCATGGACCGTAAGAAATAAGAGACACATCCAAATCTCCATATTTACCCTAAAAGCACCATGACATTTATATTCCACGATACTTTAAACACAATAAATTCCAAGATTATTGGCAACATACTTGAAAAAATTTCGTTTGATATCGTGTAAATGCACAGCCTATCCGTAAATCTAATTCTTGACGCGCGTCGACACTCTTTGCTTCATTTTCATTGGGTTTCACCAAATTTGCCAAGGCAGCTTTTATATCTTTTTCTGTGATTGCAGAGAATCGTGCTCGCCATATATCCTATTAAAAATAAAATCATTGTTATTTTAAGAATATGTTTAAAATTAAAATCCATATATTATATTTTCTGTATGGGAAAAGATTTGAGTTTTAATATCTATAAATATAATATCAGCAACTTGCATTTATGTGTAACTTCTTATGCATTCCTTGCTGTACTGCATTTACAACTTCAAAGCAAATATTTTCACCTTCTTTGTCGCAATCTAGCCATAGCACTAAATAATCACAATGCGTTCCCTCTTTAGCCAAAAAATATGGTATTTTCAATTTAGGTACAGCTTCTTTCTTTTCCGTCGGACATGAGAATAACTCTGCCTAAAAACATACAAAAACTTATTATCAATTCTTATCAAACAATACTCACAATTCAAAATGTCAAATATTTTACCGGATCCACTTTGTCCCAATTGTTGTATTTTCCAATGAAGTCTAATGTCATGACATGCCCACATACAGACGTCATTTTAAAATTCACCGTCTCAGATTTAAATTGGCCTGTCCACTCGTGCACGGAGCAAGACCCGTTCAATCCTAGAAATAATATTGATAGAAAAAAGAGAATACATGAACGAGAAAAATAATATGAATTATGAACACACCCTTCCTGGTGCTACATCGTCCATTGCTTAATATATTGGCAAGAGACGCTGCCAAAGAAGGCTTCTCAGCTACCATCAAAGCGGTTTTCATCTTGACAGAATGTTTCGTCCATATATTATCAAAATTTCTATCACTATCACTGACACGACCTAAACGAAAACATCACTTGCTAAATTTGTCATTGCCGAACCACTCACAAATCACATCATCCAAAGTAGCCTCCATATTACTGTTGTTTTCGTATCGAATCGCATATTCCGCGCTGCGGTACAATCGCAAACTAATAAAAAAATACTGTCGATAATATCAATCACCGTTATTACCAATTGTTAATAAAAACGTAATCTTGCTATTTTTAAATATTTATTTTTAATTAATTATTGATTTTTATTATCTAAATCTTTTAAATATCTTCATAAATTTATATGTTACATCCTGCACACTAATAGTGAGAGAGTTCGGCTTGTTATGTTCAATATATTTTTTACTATAAAAAATAACGAAGCCACGCGTATAAAACGATTTATAATACGCGCTATGCCAATCTATTACCAATTGTATTTTACATTTTTTTTCCACGTAAGTTGGCAGAACGATAAAATTCTTATCTGGCTTCAAAAATCTGAAAGTGTAATATCGCTGAGACATAAAAAGAAATCAATGCCGGATTTAGTCTCGGATGACAAATAACAAGATTAATCGCATCGCGCATCGATCTGGCGTATCCCGAGACGTTGATGGATGTGTAAGTACATGCAAACGATTGATGAGGCTCAGCATCCGCTTTGAATATCCGCGCATCCGAAGATGCGATCGAATCGTCCGACGCGCCTAAGCGCCATTACGTCAGAACATCAAAAACGCTAAATGATCCTCCGCGGCGTTTGAGCCTCACTTTCCGTAGACTGTAATTAAATATCTATAAATTTCGCGATCGAGAACTCGAGATTGCGTGCGGCGTTTCGAGGACGCGGCACGGCGGCAGCGCGGCGCGGTGCAGCGCAAAAAGGAGTATCGACCGCGGAGTCGCGTTATGTGCACCGAGGTACGCAGGTAACGCATTAACACAATTTCATTTTTTCTTTTCATGCAGATCCATCCGAGCGCGTCTAATTGAAGAAGCAAACTGAGTCATCCTGACTGTTAAAGGTAACGGAGTGCCGGCGCGGGGAGGCGGCATCACGGGGTCGCGCGCAAAGCCGAGAAGGATCGGACACGAGAAAGTCGAGTGGTCCAGGGTGGGTGTCGGGGGCGGCGGGGAGGGGCGGGATGGTACGATATACGAAACCCGCGTAGGCTCCGCGCGTAATATCGGATCAGTCGGTGAATGTGCCGCGGTGCGAGCGGAAGGGTCCTGGGATCTCCGGTGGTGCGTCTCTGGTGGATCGCGTCTCGGTAATCAGAGCAGTCCCGGAACTGTCCAAGCCTGTCACGCCTCGTCGTCGTCCGCTCTTCATCCTCCGCTTTCACCCTCGAGCGGACCGCGTCGGCTGCGGCACGGTGGCGGTGGCGGTGGCTACGGCGGCGGCTGCCGCGGCGGCGACGGCTCCTTATGGGGGTGCTGCTGCTGCTGCTCGTCGCGTTGATGGTCGCACGCGTGCACGCGTGCCCGGCGTACGTCGCGGGCGTGCGGACGGCGCGGCGCGAGGAAGGATGGTGAAGTGACTACGTCCTGGGCGCGGCGAACCCGGGGAGGAAAAGGGAGTTGCGAAAGTGAGTTACGCACGCACGCACCAGGGTCGGCCGGTATGTGCACGCGGCCTCGCCGGAGCGGGAGAGCGGTCATCTCGGCGATCATCCTCTTCTGGCGGATCTGCTGCTGCCCGTGCGACGTCACGGACACCCCGCCGCCGGCACCGTGCAATGTCATCGCCGACGGACGGGAGCTACACTGCCGCGGCGCCGATCTACTCGCCGTCGGCGGGATCTACGACGCCGACCTGTTACGGACCGCTGTCCCCATTAATATCACGAAGATGTAAGTGCGTTGCGCGCAGCGCAAATTTTCAAGTACGATTTCGGCTGCGCGAGATCGGAACGCGAGATTGAAGGATCTATGGCTCGGATTGGAAAGTAGCGAAAAAGAGAAATCTCTTCGCGATCGCGCACAACATCGGTTGTGTCGCGCTAGATCGCACGGGCCCTTCGGTCTTCCGTGTTGCGATTTTCGCGACTCGCTGTCACACCGCGCTGTCTTCGCGCTAAAGCTCAACAGTAGCTATATTTAAACCGCGAATTATTTTTTGTCATTTGTTTTCTGCCGTGGCTTCTCCAAGGTAAAAATATCGCGCGGTGTATTGGACTACGCGTGCATTGCAAAAATGGCACTTTACGCAATTTGTGCGGCGTTGCGTAAATTCGTCTTCGTAAATGTATCTAGAAGGTAAACGCAATGGACACTTGCCATATCGCGCGTCCTACATACGATTCTAGCCGTGGGCCTTGCGGGCCCGTCGCATCTAATGTATCTGAAAAGTCACTCCGCTTTTCATTACCCGCAACACACACGCATTGTGCGACGAGACTTACGCGAGAGAACAATTTTTCAAACGTGCAATTAATCACCACGCGGCTTTTTTCTTCTTCTCGTCAGATTTTTTGTTGTTGTTTTCTTAGCAACTTTATTGAACAAGTCCAGACGGAAAACTTACATTCTGCAAAATTTTTATTCGAAATGAAGTTATACGTTTTATTGCGTTTTACACGCGCAGAGAGGAACGGAACTATAAAAATTGAATTGAATTAAATCAATCAAATGGAAATAATCGAAAACAAATGCAATAAATTCTGCCGCGGAGTTTTGCAGTTTTTCGCTGTGAAGTTTAATTTATATGGAACTTTTTACGATTAGACCTCTCGTTTGTCTACGCGAAAGTTATCGGGCGCAAAACTCTCGATTCAGCGATAAATGAAAAAGAGGTACGCGTACATGCATCGCGACGCGTCCTACATACGCGAGCGGAATTGCAGTCGATATTCTATGGATCATGATTTAGGATCGAGGAAATGAGCAGAATTTATGCGGCCATACGATCCGCGCTCCGTTCGCCGAGTTTCGTCCGCGATTTTATTTTGCGACGCACGCTTTTGCGAGCGCGCTCCACTTTGCTTTCATTCTTCGCCGCAATTTATGCGAAATTGATTTAACGCCACTTCCTTTTTTCCTTTTTTTTCTTTTCTTTTTTTTTTTTTTGAAAAACAAACACTTTGACCGTCTTCGGTCCCCCTTTCAGCAAAATGGATGGAGAGAGAAAGAGAGAGATATGAATAGACGTAACATACGTCGGCGCCGTTGCATCGCCCTTTTCCAGTTTCTCGGCCTCTGCCTTCCCTCTATAAATATTTTCCCGACATTCCCACGCACGCGGACACGATGGCCTTCTTAAAGCGACGTGATTTATTTTTTCCTTGGATCTAATTGATTGTCGCGAGCGTCGGGAAAGCGCGAGCGCAGAATCGCCGGAGAATTTCCCCGGGGAGGCGGCGGCCTACGCGAGCCGGTCTACGAACAATTCATTATTTTAACATCGACGGTAATTTATTAATAGATTCCTTTATCCGCGAGCGGCGCGCCGTGACATCTCGACTCTGCCGTGGTCCTTAATAACGTTAAGAACACGGAAGGTGCGTCGTACATCATTCCACTCACGTTCGCGGCGGCTCGGCGCGCGTGACGTCTATTGTGAAAGTAATTCCATTCCCGAACTTGATTCACTTTATTTGCGAACGATAAAAGCGACCGAAATTTGCCCGCGCCGCTGTCTCTCTCTTTATCTCTCTCTCTCTCTCTCTCTCTCTCTCTCTCTCTCTCTCTCTCTCTCTCTCTCTTCTTCCTCCTCTCTCTCTCTCTCTCTCTCTCTCTCTTTCTCTCGACGGCCGTTATTTGTATCACTGCACAGAAGTTTTCACGGCACGTCGCGAACGCATATTTTTGCGCAAATTATTCTCTCAATATTCTCTCAATATTCTGCATTTTTACATAGATTCTTAAAATGGCACGTTGATTGGGTATTTTCGATATCGGATTGATGGATGATCGATACGACACGAATACCATCGGAGAAGACTGGTGCAGGTCGTCCTTGAGTGTCAAGCATCGAAAGTTTTCAAAGACCCGCCCGTGACGGAATGTCCAGAAAGTGTAATTAGAATCCAATGTCCGTGCGCGCCGAGAAAGTTCCATTGAAACTTGAACAAAAAGAGAAAAAGGGGGGAAAAAAATAGGAGCAAGCGCGAAAGTATCGTCGCTTTTTCTATTTTAAGAACGAATGAGCGGGAGAGAAAAAAAAAAATACCCCGCGCGCTCACACGACGGAGCGCATCCGCGTGCGACAGGAGCGTCGATTCGGAATTTCGCATCGCGCTTTGTTCGACGGGGCTTAGAAATAGCGCGCTCGCGAATATCCCGACGGTCGGAACGTGATTTTTTTTTTTCCCTCTCGAACGGCGATAAATGAACGATTACATAAATAACAAGCGGGAGAGATCATTATAACGCAATACGTAATGTCACGTAAGTGCGTAAGTGGTGGTTGCGTGCAAACGAGGCTGTCGTGTCCAGCGAAATGCGCTCGTTTAGCCATTCGCGCCGCGGCGGCGGTAATCGTAATACGCAAATATCGTCGCGGATTTTCGTGCGCCGCGAGCGAAATCAAGTAACGCGAGCCGCCAATAACATTATCGTTAGTCGTTTTTTTTTTTTTTTTTTCTTTTTTCTTCCCTCGAGCCAAAAAAACGTCGATGCAAATGAGCGTTGTTTCGCGCCGCGGCGGCGGACCACCCTTCCTTTATCGTCGCGTGGGGTGCCGCGCTGTCTCTACGTTCCATTTGCTAAAGGAATAAGTGGACATCGATCCATCCTGAAGCGAAGGAGGTCGAAGGACTCATAAAAATGGGCCAGAATCCACGCAGCCCCTCCGGTCCGTTTCTCTCTCGATTCGCGCTCACGCGGCGCGAAGCGTAAAAGTGTCGATTCACTAGCGTTTCCTCAACATTGTCCTACTTCTTTTATCACCCGGGGTTACGCCCGTAAAAGCGCCACGCCACTCTTAACCGATGATTTCGCGTTGATTTCGCCGCGAGACGCCTGTCTCGATGTCGTGTTAAAATTATCGAGATTAAATCTTTTGTGTAAAATACTGCCGAAGAAAGGAAAATGTATTTTTTCGAGCGCGACATCGGCGACAAACTCGAAAGTTGCTCTAATCACCGACGAAATCGGGAGCCCTTGATAAAAAATTCCCGTCACTCGCCGTGTCGTTCGATCTAGCTAGTTCCACTTTAAGACAGAAATTATTAGGATCGCTCAGTCAGTTTTCACTTGCCTGCATTCGCACGAACCCAATTCGCCAGCGATCTCTCGCAGTCATCTCTCGTAAAAGCATTATTTTTAGATCGCTCAATGACCTTTTGCCGATTTGCGTATTTATTTCCCTTCCTTTTTTCTTTCTTACGTGTATATTTGAAGGAAACCGCCGCTTTTCGTAACGCCGAAGGCGCGATAAACGCGCGATATGATGAACGCTTTGTGTTATATATTTTGCTTTCTCTAACTGCGAGTCCCCGCGATATAAAGTTTTGTAACGCCGCTTTTCGTAAATGTTTCAGTGATCTGACCAACAATAATATAACGGACATTCCAATACGTGCTTTCCATCGGTTTCCCAATCTCGAAATTTTGTAAGTGGACCGTACGTGATATAATTTCCACAGACGGGCGACTTTATACTCACACGTGCCGTTACTTTTAGATTTCTTCGACGCAATCAGCTACAAATCATTTACGACGATGCGTTTGTAAACTTAGCGAGCCTTCGTGTATTGTAAGTATCTGAAAAAAATAGAAAAGAAAACAAATCATCACGTATCTGCGATTTCACATCTTTCGTCCGCTTTTATCTTCAGGGAGCTCGATGAAAATTATTTAACGGCGATACCGGCCGCTGCTGTAAATCTACCTGGCCTCGAAGAATTGTAAGTAATTCTCTGAAAATCTCACATCGATTTTCTCGTTGAAATATTTCTCTCTTTGTTATACGTGGGTTTTTTTTTTTCTTTTTCTTTGCCCCAATGTTGGTTCGCGCTGCTTTTATGGACCCTCCGCGTACATTCGTAGGTCTGTATCGAACAACAAAATAGAACAACTCACGGAAAATGCATTACGCCACGCTGGCAATCTGGTGTCGCTCGATTTACGCGGAAATCCAATTAAGGAAATACACGACGGAACCTTCCGGAATCTTCGCAAACTTCGTAAGTTGTAAGTAATTTTACTTTTTGGCCACGACGTCGTCATTCTTTATTCGCGTCTGCGAAAAACTCCACGTCGCAATTATTAAATGAAATTGAAGCTACGTTTCTGTCGTCAATTATAGGATATTGTCTAATGTGAAGGAACTGCGGTATTTTCCCGATCTGAACGGGGCAACGTCTTTGGAAGTGTTGAAATTAGATCGCTCGCAGCTGAAGGAGGTTCCCTCGAATCTTTGTCTGCAATGTTCGAAACTGAAAAGTCTGTAAGTTCAGCGCGATCGAAGATAATTGAAATTACTTTGGTGGCTGCTTTTTTGTAAAAGGAGATATTATTGATTCTATAAATCACTGTTTGCTTTCAGCGACATGAAATCCAATTATTTGACAGAGATGCCAAATTTACGAAACTGCAACGAACTCCGCGTTTTGTAAGTAATGTAATGTAACGCGCGGATGTGCAGAATGTTCGCGCGAAGCGCTGAATATGTTGTGAATAAAATGCAAATTTGTATTTCTAGGGATTTGGCCAGTAATATGATTTCCACGTTGCCCGACGACGCTTTTAAAGGTTCAAATATGCTGCACGATCTTCTCCTGTCCAATAATAACCTGCAGAGCATTTCCAGCGATGCGTTTAGCGGATTATCCAGATTACAAGTTCTGTAAGTGAGCCGCTCGCACGGCCGAGTCACTTTCATCCCGCGTGCTCTCAGCGTCTTCCCGCATATTTACATTGGGAGTTATTTTTTTTTTTTTCAGAGACTTGGAGAACAATTACATCGAATACATACACCCCGACGCGTTCAGAGAGACGAAACGGTTGGAGGACCTGTAAGTGTGTTTGTGTAACTTACCTCTGGCAAATTAATTCGGCGCGCTCCCCCGTAAGCCGAGTCTCGAGCGCAATTAAGATGTAGACGTTGGCTTGTAGAAATTTGGGAAACAACGTCTTCCCTACACTGCCGATAAGAGGCCTCGCCGGATTGTTGCACCTCAAGACGTTCAATAATCCGGCGCTCCGTGAATTTCCATCCCCCGAGCGGTTCCCGCGCGTGCAAACAATGCTGCTGTCATACGCTTATCACTGCTGCTCGTTTCTGTCGGTCGAAATGGAGGAGCCCGTCACGAAGACGTCGCTGCGGGAATCGATTCTATTCCCCACCGACGATTTCGACTCCAGCTTGTGGAATTCGACTTTCAGCGATATCTGGCCGCACTTGAGTGAGTATAATTCCATCGGTTCTCTCATTCACGCATCTCTGCGCTCGCTTACACATTCACGCCTCGACACTTAACTGCTGCAGAGCATCCACTGCGAATTCAGTCAGTTGTTGCAAACTTCTCGGTACATCTTTCGAAGATGCACGGAAAAAAAGAAAAGCCGAAACATTAATTCCATTAGTTTGTTTTCGCATTGTCGCATCCTACACGCCATCGTCGATCTTAGCGGCACTGAAGTGATAACGTTTTTTAGATAACTTGACCGACAAATTCGGAAAGCAGATAAATGAACTTTGGGCTAACTTTGGTTCAGATTTTACCTACCCCGGCAACCTGCCTTCCTACGTAGAGGATTATTTCGAGGATGTAGACGGTCGGGTGACACCGACGACTCGGACAGTACCCTCCCGTATCCAATGCTTGCCGCAACCCGGTACGTCGAGTGGTCCGCTAATTTGTAATGCGTCTCTCTCGTAACACCGTGGTGATGTAAAACATTTCTGTTTATTCGGTTTGACTTCGGTTTGTACATGTGCGAAACTTTGCAGGTCCCTTTTTACCGTGCCAAGATTTATTCGATTGGTGGACTTTGCGGTGCGGCGTGTGGATAGTTTTTCTCCTCGCGATGCTCGGAAATGGCACTGTGGTGTTTGTCTTGATATTCTCGAGAAGCAAGATGGATGTGCCACGGTTTTTAGTCTGCAATCTGGCCGCCGCTGACTTCTTCATGGGTGTCTATCTAGGTGATTCTTCGTTACTTCTTTCGTATTGATTTAAGGCGCAACGTTACGCTGCTCCGCCACGTGCGTTTGCTTTGTCCCTTTTAAATTTTTATTCGATGTGTATTATCGTTTCAGGTTTGCTAGCCGTCGTCGATGCGTCGACATTGGGAGAATTCAGGATGTACGCGATTCCGTGGCAAATGTCGGCCGGATGTCAGCTGGCCGGCTTCCTCGGTGTCCTCAGCTCCGAATTAAGTGTCTACACGCTCGCGGTGATCACTCTGGAGAGGAACTACGCGATAACGCACGCGATGCACCTGAACAAGCGGCTCTCATTGAAGCACGCGGGCTACATTATGACGATAGGCTGGTGCTTCGCGCTGTCGATGGCGAGTTTGCCGCTGCTGGGGATTTCGGACTACAGAAAATTCGCTATTTGCCTGCCATTCGAGACCAACGGCAGCGCGGCGCTCGCGTACGTTGTGTTTCTCATGCTCATTAACGGCGTGGCCTTTCTGATACTGATGGGATGCTACTTGAAGATGTACTGCGCGATACGAGGCTCCCAGGCGTGGAACTCCAACGACTCTCGCATTGCGAAGCGAATGGCGCTGCTCGTCTTCACCGATTTTCTCTGCTGGTCGCCGATAGCCTTCTTCTCTCTCACGGCGACCTTCGGACTGCAATTGGTGTCCCTCGAGCAGGCGAAAGTCTTCGCGGTATTCGTGCTGCCGCTCAACTCTTGCTGCAATCCCTTCCTATACGCCATCCTCACGAAACAGTTCAAGAAGGATTGCGTGCTGATATGCAAAGCGATCGAGGAGTCGCGCGTGACTCGCGGCATCGGCAGGTGCCGGCACAGTTCGAATTTCAGCAATCGGCAGACACCTGCCAACACCAACAGCCTGGTCGATCGGTCGTCGCGCGAGAATCAGGGGATTCAAACGCCGTGCACCTGTAACGCGCGGCTCCTAGAAACCGGAAGCCGCTGCTCGACTTACCGCTGGTGGAGCGCCGGGCTGTTCTGGCCGTGCGCGCGCGACACGCGACCGCGTCACGCGCGCAACGATCAGTACGCCTATCAGATCGCCCAGATCCAGCAGAAGCAGCACAAGCGCGCGTCCTCGGTTTCGTCCAGCGAGAACTTCTCCTCGTCCAGATCGGACTCCTGGCGGCAGACGCACCACTGCGGCATTCCGCTCAGACTGCTGGATCCGAAGCGGAGAGCCTCCTCCTGGCTGATCACCAGGAAACCGTCGCAGGATTCCAACTTAAGTTCCTCGCGCAACGACTCCTCCGGCTCCGCCACCACTGCCAGCACCAGTACTTGGCGCATCTCGAGATCCAGTGCCTCTCTAGAAATTAGCGCGCGCAACACGCCGAGGCCGGTGAGACCGAAGCCGCGACTGACCCGCCAACTCGCCATCCAGGAACCGGAGCCCCCCGGGAGTCACCGGGAGGACTGGCCGTAGATACTCGCCACGATACCCTCCGCGGCTGAGACCAGCGATCAGCAAGACGACGAGAATATGCCGACGAATTGAATTTCTATCCTTTAACTATTTTTATGTATCATACATATATATAGATGTAAAAATACGCGCATATGTTAAGTGTATTCTCGTCGAGCGAATTCTTAACAAATTCAGTATTAACAATCTTCGCTGGTATACCTGTGTAGTTTGTAGCTATATACATATACGTATATTTATATTTATGGCGTTTTATACATCCTCAGCGCATTGTTGCTTAATCGAAGTAGAAAGCGAAGATATGAGTAGAATTGCGCAGAGAGTCGCAGTTTGATTTCGGATGCGTTTCTCGGTCGATGTTGTCGATAATCCGTCGATAATGCGGATTTTTCGTGAAATACGTTTCCTTTCGAACGAAATGCCAAGAGAAATCTAAAGGTCTAAACGTTACCAAGATATAATTAGCGGATTTGCTTGACAAGTGCAATCATGTGTATAACGCGGATTTGTCGGATCGACGTCAAATCGGCACCGGGCCATCTCTGTTAATTGCATAGCATCTAACGAAGTAGTCCGTCCGTTCGTCCGTATATGTCAGACTGATACTTGCTCAGTAAGCAAAATGTCAATATTGGCAGATTGACGGCAAATTTAATCGAATTCGCTATTAATCTGTCAGCATTGGCCAGCATTTGGCTATCCGGGCATGTATGTGTATGGCATATATGTACACATATATGTTATATATTTATATTTTTACGTTATAAGACTGACTATGGGTTCTTCAACTCTGTACCATTTACACTGGGTCAAAGACTTCTAGCTACTAGTCTCGGTAGCCAGTAGTCGTTTGATAATTGTTACATCGAGCTGTGTACGTAATGATATTATAATTTATATAGTAAATAAATCTACGCAACTATCGCAGCGGTTTTACCGTTCTAAGTATTAGATTTTCAGAGCCAAATCATAGATTACCTCTTACGCGATGTTCGAATATTCGAAATCTTGATAAAGATGTGCTTAATTTATTTGGCAGACTTATATTTCGCTGCGGGCAGAGTCGCGTTTGCCGCTGTCGGACGTAAACATTGCGTAGAGGCAACCTCATTTATATCTCGCGTATATAAGTTCGCGTAAAGAAATATAATTATTAATATTGGAAGGATTAGTCACTGATATTGTGGATTTTAACGAGTGGTTTGTTAAAAGTAGTTGATAATAGTATGTGATGTTGAAGAAAATCAAATAAAATCTTCATGGAAACTGATCGTTGGTGGACAAAGCATTATTTAGTCGGCAAGCGGCTTGAGTTATTTTAATTTGTGCAATCGTCGAAAGTAAAATTAACCCAGCGCGAATTAATTGTACATAATGTAAGTTGAATTTTCGTTAAGTCTGTACATACGAAAACAATACGCAACTCTTTGAATTTGATTTATTTATTTTTGTAAAACGTCACTTTTGCATTACAGGGAAGACGCGCTGTATTCGCAAGCGGCATCGTAAATATTGTACTAAGAATATAATAATTTAAATACGGATATACTAATTAAATGTCTATTTCTTGTCTAAAATATATTCAACTCATTAACAAAGATTTGTATTGGCGCGATGGAGCGCGACGGGTCGAATCCTCAAACAACTTTATCTCACATACTGCTTAACTAATTAGGTGATAAGGTCAGATCTATCATTCATTTCAAAAATAACACATATAGCGAGATACATAGCCTTAGAAACTGTCCTTTGTAAATATAATAAATTCTTTGTTTCGAAGTCCTGTAAGGAAGAACGTACTAACATTTTTATGGAGAGCCAGTGATCACTTTTACATCGTGAAATCAAATACTGTGACAAAACTGACACATTTTGCTTCCGCTTATTTGTCACTTTTTTAATAATAAACATCGGCCCAGTTTACACTATATGTTTTATTCTCATACTAAATCCATATCGTATTCGCAATTACTCTCGTAGATTTTCAACCATCTGCTAATATTTGATAGACGTATCGAACGATCAATGTAAACTAGGCTATTAATGATAATAGATCCGACATTATACGTATTTTCTGATCCATAAAAACGAGAAGCACGGCGCTCGAGTAAATTATTATAGCAATGCAACAACCAGGAAGCATTAATATGTATTAATGCAAATTACTTCGTGTAATCATCAATGTATTCGCAGATATTATTGTACCTGGAATGCAAAAGAATTACGATTCCCGATTCTGAAATAAAACAATATACAAATATTTACTCGGAGTCTTCGGAATTTTCACACGGAGATTCGAATGTGTCAGTTTCTGATCACGCCATTTCACAAAATTTTCCACTAAAACCGCTCGAAACAATTTCGTTTAAAGGCGATTATAAAACGATAATGTAGAAATCGTGCGACTAACGTACTTGAGCGTATCATAAAGAAATAATCTGATTTAATACAATTGAAATAAACTAATCTGCAAATCAGTAAACTAATCTGCAAACAAATACAGTGTGGGGGGGGGGGGGAGGAATTGTTACACGATTGTATCTATGCGTTCGCGAAGTAAACAACAATAGTGATCCTTTAACAAATGGCTCAAAAGCAGCAGTTTCCAAAAACCTCGTTGCGACACAAACCATTCTGTAGGCCAGTTAATTAATTCTGAGTTAAGTGCGTATAAGTGAGGGTAAGTTAATTAATCGTGACATTAAAATATATCCGTTACGACGTAATATCGTTTCAACAACATCAAGGATTGAAGCAAAAGCGTACGGAAAGTAACAGGGCTTCAAAATCGTTTTGCCGTGAGACAACTGAAGTTTGCATAAAATTCTGTATTGCTGCGGCGACTTATGTGGCTAAATTTTTTTTTTCTTTTTTCCTTAAATTTACCAACAAGTATTTTAGATTATTGCACTTCGAAGATTCTTATCAGGGATTGTAATTTTGATTTAGAACACTTAGAGGGAGTTCAGGACCGGAACCCCAACGTTACTTATCGAGAGTATGCACGCATCGCGCGCAGAAAAGATTTCCTCGCGACAAGTTAATTGCCTCGCGTATCTCACAGTCTACTTACGAGTTACAAAACGTTTGTAGAAATGTATAAAATCCGTATTGTAACGTTTCTCGCTTTGCCGAGGCGCCGTAGTGAATTGCACGTATTGCAGACGGACGGTATGAGAGAGTTCACGCGGGTTACCCGTGTCGCGATCGTGGAGCTTCGCGTACCGTTTTTTCTCATTGGCAACTCGGTTACGTTAGAAGCGTGTTAACGCACAGACGTGAGTTTCCGAACATCGATTTTGTGCCCAGCCCCAATACCTAAACGATGACTAAAACTACGGAATTACATTGCGATAAAAAAGGATTAACGCTAACAATAAATTGTCATCATTACACTAATGTCATCGTGAAAAAATCTTACTTCATAAAAGTTCGCGGAGGCCCGGAGAACACTCGGTCTCCTAAAAGTACATACCGAAAATATATATTGTCGTAATTAGAACTTTCCAATATCGCGGAGTCTAAAAAATTCTATTTATCTAGGTCGGATGTCTCTCCGTGGTGTCTCCGTGCTGACTCGTATTTCGTTACTATTTTGCACGCGCGCAAAAATTTGGCAAGTGGAAGGAACAACCGGGACAACAAACATCCTAAAATCGTACATTACTGTTTCTGCGAGTCTACAACGCGCGTCGAGGAGGAGAAAAGAAAGACAAAGAGGGGGGGGGAGAAGTGTGTACGCCTTCTGTATGTGTATGTGTGCGCGTGTGTGTCTGTATGTGTGTCTGTATGCGCGGATAGTAACTGATAATTAATAATTATTGGTAAAGTAAAATTCTTAAGTGCACGTCGCGATTTACCACTAAACTTGTAACGGATAGCAATTAAGTAACAAACGAGATTATGTGACTAGCGTACATCACGTAACTTTACTTTTATTCTTCCTAAAGGCTGGAAAGTGTAGCTTCCTGCGCCTTCGTTTAAGCTCGTCGTTGTCGGCGGTAGAATTGGAATCGGTCGAGAGCGTCTCGTCGTCGACTGACATTACCGTGGGCAATTCCCGGAGCGGCTTCTTCACGCTCATCGTCGTTGTCGTTGTCGTTGTCGTTGTCGTCGTCGTCGTCGTCACCATCGTCGTCAACGCTGCCGCGGGACGACAGCCGGACCTGTCCGTTACGTCAAGCGAGTTCTCCGAGTACGATGTTTTCGGCAGAAACGACGTGGTCTTGTCTTCGTTGAGCTGTATATTTGTGTCCTGGCTGTAACAGCGTACTATGTTGGATTTCTCTTTGCACGGCGCGCTCTTTCCCGGCGCGACAGCGGGCTCTTCCGGTCCGTCACCCACCACGAAGTGGACCCCGTGCGTCTCTTTCTCCGCCTCGCTGCTCGAAGAATCGGAGAGCTCGTTTCCAAGCCGACCGGCCGGCGGTACCGACGACTCCTTCCACGCCGAGTTCTCCAAAATACCTACGAATACGTCAAGTCATGTCCAAAATGCAAAATTCGTTTCTCTATCGTAATGGTGCGGTAAAGATAAAAGCTGCGTGAAGAAGCGAAAGCTCTTTGTGCCGCTCGGGTGTACAGGAGAAGTTTATCCGAACTCTCGTGCATCGCTTTTGACGCGACGGAAATCGCGCGCGACGATATCGCACCGCGAGAAGCCTCCTTCCACGCTAAACACTGCGTCCCGCAGCCGTATCAAAATATATGATCTCGTGTGTGACGTACAAATTTGCGCTAGTGTGATTCATCATTTAGTTACATTCGAAACAACGCGACGCTTATCATCAATGCTGATCTTAGTTGGAAACTAGTTTTATTTGAATCCCGCTTTGCGAGATAAAACCTCGTCGGCGAGCGTTTCTTGATTAACTATTTATTCATTATTCATACATTATCGGCTCGTTTATCAAAATTTTTTCATCTAAACTGTGCGACATTGTTTCTTCATTACAAAATCGTAAAAACCATCGTGATTTAAACGATTGAAATATTCTATAAGCGCATATTTGTCACTTATTTAACTCGAGCAATTTAATGTGTTCTGGAAACATGCAACAAATCGGAGCACTTGAGTTCGGTATAGGTCATATTAACAAGCCCACATATTCTTGTTTTTCCAAGCTTGCTTAAGTTTATTAATAGCGATTACTGAATATTTCATACAGAAAAGTAACGCCATTGTGTTACGTAAACTATTGTAAAACAAAAAAAAAAACTTCACTGGACTCACTGTAATATACATATACAGAGTACGTTTCAAGGCATCAACACGTTATCTTGATAAATATATAACTCCAGAACAGTACGTGACTTACAAAATAATTTGGAAGCAACATTATTCAAATCTTAATTGTTAATGTTTACAACTAGATATTCTTTATCCCTCAAAAGTAACAAGATAATAAGAAATATAAAGAAAGGTACAAAGTGCTTTTCAAATATTGCAATTAAACTATTATTAGTAAAGTTAATTTTAACAATTTTAAAAATAACAATAATTTAACAGTGTATGTATATATATATATGTGTGTCTTAATTATACATATAATGCCCATAGTACATCCATCGCTTTCAGGATGAATCTTATATCAAAATTATAAGAGTTTGAAATAAGATTCATAGACAAAAATATATTCGAATATGTTTTGGGAGAAATTTATCACAATGTTTTTCACGAATTCTACAACGCGTTATATTATTCGCATTATATGGATAAACACATATAATTAATTTTGCGATAGCTTGCACCACGATTGTTAAAAACTGATACCTATATATACTAAAAAATATATATATATATTCTTATATATTATATACAGTTTTATATCTTACTGCATATTCATATAAATGTTATTTTTATCAATAGTCAAATAACTTCTGAGCTATTGTCATGTTGCAATCAGATCTAATACTAGTGTTATGTCATAACAAGTAACAGGAATGTTAGAATATTATCGAAAACTTTTGCGTAAACAATTTTTTTTTTTAATTGATATGGTAAATGATTGTCTTCATTGCATAAAATATGCAATGCGTTAGAATACTATATCTATGAGGTATATCATTTTGCTTATTGGAAGCAATTGTAATTCAAATTATGCACAAGGTTACATCTTAAGAACGTATACAGTTTCAAAACGGTCATAAACATGCTAAAACAATTGTTTGTACGTGAAACAGGTACAGTAATATATTTTAGAATTATATTTTTATGATAATTTTTATATTTTATGAATTACTTATTCGCACAATATTATAGAATTGTTTTGATCCCCGATCTCAGTTGGCTTATTTCAACCGATATATGTATATCGGTTGTATGAGTATTTATTTAAAAAAATTTCATTTCTTTACTTGCTATATAGCTAATTCAGAATCTCTCATGTGTAACCCACGTTTCTTATAAATATTATAATTTAATTTTGATCTATATTCTTTCCATGAAGCACTAAATTTCGTATGACTTTACATTGGCATCATAATAACATCGTTCATTATAACTTCCGTATAATTTTGCATTAGCCGACATATACGAAATCGTAATGCATTCTGCGCTCATGCATATGTCAGCCAGTCTACTGTATACCAATTATGATGTACACCTAAGGCACATATTTCACAATGTTAACAATTTGTGGAAAACTTGTAACATTATATTAATTATATATCTGTTATTGGCACAAAAGTATCAATAGGAAAACTATGTCTTCGCTACCGTATTATTAAAACACAAAAACTCGTTAGTAAATTATTATCAGAAGAAATTCAACATGTTTTGACAAGTTTGTGTGACCAATGTATATACAAGCACGATATATAAACAGGCCACAACGATAGTGCTTAATAATAAGATAATGAGCATTGCTATGTCAATCTAAGTACTCATTGGAGTCCGTATCCAGCTTACCTGCGACTGCACTGACTGACGATGATGCATACACCGAGTTTGCTTCATCATCTAAATCATCTTGGCTACTGAGTCGTCCTATAATACATACAAATCATTTAGAGCTTTGTGAGAAGCATGAAATAATTCATAAGCATTCTCTATTGTTTTCTCTGTAGTCAAAATTTTTTTTAGTATCGATTTTTAGTAAGAATTAATTGGATAATTAGTTTGCTTTAACATATAAATTAGTATCACATTGATTATGCAAGTTTTATATCAAATCAGCAAATTCTTTTCACTCATAAAAATTGATGACGAGTAAAGCGTATATGTAATGCCAACAAAAAATTAAATGTTTAAGCCATGTCGTTAATCGATTATAAAGCAATATCGTGATGTTAAATACCTCTGAGTCCAAGACCTCTACCGTTAGGTGTCCCTCTGTACAAAACTGTCTCTAAATAGCTTAATCCATTATTATTAATTATATTGAAACCACAAAGCAGCTCGATTTGCTTCCAACGATGTACTCTTTCTTTCAACTCGTTTGTCACTTCGTTCAGTGAAGTTCTTGCTTCAACTATGCTCTTATCGACTTCATCAATGGATTTACCATGAGTCGAAACAAAGGCACCTACCAGGCTAGAACGCTTCTTACGCAATTTCTCGCACTACAAAATAGAACAAAAAATTGTTTTTATCAGTGAAATATTGTATTTCCTGCATAACTTGGCATATATAAATTATGAAGTGAGCTAATAGTACAAAGTTGAAATGATTTGCATTTAAGAAATTAAAATTTAAAATTAGTTGTTTTACCGCTTCTCGTGCTTGTTGAAGTTGCTTCTCGGCTCCTATTTTCTTATTTGTATACGCTTTATTTTCAATTTCATGAGTTAATTGTAGCCAATGCTGCAATCCCGCCGGAGGTGACCAACATCTGTCTTCGAGTTCACCTTCTGCTCGTTGTAATTCTAATTTCAACATCTGCGAAGTATATAAAATAGAACAAATATATTAATTTATTATATGGATATAAAAATTATATATAAAATAATTGTACGTAAAATAAACTAGAAATGATATTAACTTCAATTTCCGCTTTTAATTGTGACACTTCAAGATCCGAATACGAAGTATGTAATCCTAAGCTTTCATCTTGTAAACGTTTTTCTAAATTCTGCTTTTCGGTAGCTACACTTTCTTGTTCCAATCTCGCTCTTTCCAACTCTTTCTGCAATTGATTATGCAATGTAATTTTAATAAAAGTCGCATTGATCAAAAAACACATTTTATTAAGGCAAATTTTCAAGAAAAAGTACCTGCAAATTTTCCAGGGCAAGTTCCGCCTTATGCAAACTTTCCATATCTTTCATCATTCTATGAAGATGCTTTTGCGAACTTTTCTTTTGTTGATATACGTACCAGCATCCAATAAGTGCAATAAATAACAATGTAACTAATACCAAATCTTTGATGTTGTGTCCAGTATCTATTATTATATGTAGTTTTAATTTTTAAATATATAATAAACACATTATACTATAATATGATATCAAATGTGTAACTATTTTACCTTTAGGAGGTCCAAAAAGAACAACATCCATCGCTTTTAAGGCAATTTTTTGTTTATGAATGGGATCTTTAATACCCAAAACATTATTAAGATAATGCATATTGTTCACAGCTAATCTAAAATATATTAAAAAATTTGATTATATATATTAAATTGTAAAAAATCTCTTCTTTTACAAGAGAATATTTTCAAGTAATAAACTTACCGAGGAAGCGTAGCACCAGTTACACGATGCTGTATAAAAGTAGGAACATATTGAGGAAGCTCAACATTGGAAGTTAACCATTCGGATGTTTGTTCTATTGTCCAGTTATGAACCTAATAAAAACATTACAGTGTATAAAATATAAATTTTATGTATAATATTTTATGTGTGATGTTGTAAGTTGTTAATTGGAGATATTTTTTTAAAAAGATTCTGTTATATTACTTCTGATCTTAGCCACGCTTCCCATAGTTCTCGTACACTAATGTGCATATCATCATTATGATGAAAAGCTCTTTGCCTCCGTTCGTAACCAGCTTCATATTGCAGTTCTTCTCTTAAAAACTGTCAAAACACACTTATTTCGTAATGCATTGCGTAAAAATGTAACAGATAGCTCTTAAAACAATACAAATATCCTTACATCATCAGATTCGGATAGATCAACATTTCCATTGGCGTCATCGTCCAACTGACTGTGAAGAGATTTTATAGCTTCTAATCCCAGCCGATCGTGAGAAGCCATAGTAATGCAAGCTAGATCGTCATTGCAAGTATCCCCAGCTGGAACAAAGAAATAGATATAAAGAGTCACACATAGCATTGCGCATTCACACAGACGACGCACGACATCGTGCTCATGGAACTTGGCTCAAAGCTGGATCTTACTTGATTCGTGAGCCACCGCCTGGGCCAGTCCATTGGTGAGAGTAGCGGAGAATGCTGTTATTTTGGAATGTGAAGTGCTCGAGGCACCGGTTTGGAAAGTCGGGGTAGAATCGAGAGCTCCGCCACTAGCCGCTACCGTGTCGAGGGCCCAAAACAACAGATGAATTCCCAGTAGTATAAGCGCGTCAACGTTCACGGATGTTCGCATCTTAGGTTAGCCTCCAGCTTCCTATTGACACCTCGCGCCTCCTTCGCGCGGCCCCAAGAGATCCGCACACTCAGCGGTGAAAACGGTTCGGCTGTTCGTTCTCAGCTTCGGTGACGATTCGCGATCGTGGATATATTCAAGGTTACAATTATCGGACCCGGACTGACGATATATTCCGACGAGCGCATAACAAGCGTGACCGATTACGAGTACGACGACTTCATAACTATGTCACGCGCTAATATCATCAGCTCCATAAAGGCGGGCGTCCGCTAATATCCGAGAATACATACAAATATCTGATTGCTTCGTTAATTAAGACAAATTAAGTACACTGCTATCCCGAATCAGATGTTTTATCCAAGGCTACTAATAGCGTTTCCGAGTCACACGATCGCGATCGGAGCGGGTGCAATTAGTATCCGTTTCTATGAGAATCGAAGTGCCTGCGACTTGTTTCGCAGCCGAGTTACGCATCTAGCTATTTATGCTTCGTGACTCAGAAACCATAAGTACCGTGCCATTTGAGCCTCGTAGCGCTATATGTGTGTTGCTGTTCGTTGCTGGCTGGCTGTTATTTCGCGCAACCTGAAGGCAACTGTCATTCCACATTAATCTTTATCAGCGTGAATTTTTTGTTCTGCAACGAATATCAACACCACGACGATGTTCCGCATCGCTAAAACTTTTTCGTCGGTTCCCAAAAACCTGAACAAGGCCCTCGAAGTGCCCTTAGGATCCTCGATCACATCCAGGTAAAGTGCTAGATTGTCATTTTTTTGTTCTTCGATTCGAACAACCTGTTGCTAACTTTGAACTGTCAGCAAATTTTATCTGATTTTATACTCATCATTATTTTCTGGTTGAATAAGTAATATAATATTTCGTCGATAATTTTTTAACAAATTTATGCAGTTGTAACAATTTACGCACAATAATGTTATTAAATATTAATATATTAGATGTATAAATAGATGTATAAGCGAATATTAAATGTGTGAATTTATTTTACGAAAGATAAATTTAAAACTGTTGAAAGTAAAGTCGCAATATGACTTTCTGGATTCGAGTGTGTCATCGTATATGAGTGGACTTTGCTTCACACATACACGCGCGCACGCAGTGTAAACATACATATATATGTATAAATACATATGCCGTGTGATTATTCTATATATATTGTTTATCCTACAGTAATTACTTAACTATTTGATCTACGTATCAGTATTAAAATCCATCTTTTTAAGTTTATTGTTTTTTATGAGAATGAGATTGCGCAACCAAGATGAGATGGAATAAATGAAAACTTGTTTAGCATATTTGAAATAGGAAATAATATTAAAAAGATAAATATAAAAAAAAATAAATAAATTAGAAAAAAATAAGATAAATCGTTATCAAAATCACAATCCGATATAAATAAAAAATTTTAATTAAAATATATTAAGGCTGAAATAATGAAATTAATTCAAAGACAAATAGTAAAAACAATGTTTCAACCTGTTATCAGGCCTTCTTCAAGTTCTTAGTAAAGAAATATTACATTATAAAGTAAAACGCTTTTTCGGACGAATTCAATGAATTATTATAAAACATTGCTGGTTTATGTTGTTGTTAGTAAGTAGTTGTGTATTAAACAGTTACTTGATGCATTATAAATGAACGAAGTCAATCTCAGATATCAGTGAATAAAAAGAATAAAATATTGTTAGTCATCCTGATCACAATTATTCGCAATGATATCATTGTTTAAATTATAGTTTGAAAAAGGAGAGTTCCATTGGAAAAGTCAGAGATTGCTCGTCAACAATTAAAGGCGAAAAACTTGAACTTGTATGTCAGTAGATAAATTAACAGTGATAAATAAAAAATATAAATTACACAGATGTTTGGCTACGCAAGCTGCAGCGAAACTTAAAGCTGAGAAGCCGCAGCAGGAAAATGCTACTGGAAAAGAATCTCAATCTTTCACCATGAATCTTTTCCGCGGTCAATTGCAGTTGAATCAGGTCTTTCCATTTCCGGAACCTATGAATGAGGATCAAATCGATACATTAAAGATGCTCGTCGATCCCGTGGAGAAGTTTTATGAGGTGATCATCTTTTTGAACACTGTTCAAAAAGGATGTACGATAAATATGTATTGAAATTATTTTTTTATAGGAAATAAACGATGCGGCTAAAAATGATCAAAACGCATCTGTAGACGAAAAAACGGCGAATGCTCTCTGGGAACTGGGAGGGTTTGCTCTGCAAGTGCCGACGGAATACGGCGGACTGGGATTGTCAAACACTCAATATAGCCGAATCGTTGAAATATGCGGCTACCATGATTTGGGGATCGGTATAATGCTTGGAGCACATCAGAGCATAGGATTCAAGGTAAAATTCTTCAGAATTGTTTCACTCTCTGTCCATTTTTAAGATTGTACTGTTTTTATTTTTCCTCTTTATTCCGATAAATCTTTTGCACGCTTCTTCTAGGGCATACTTTTGTATGGCACTCCTGAACAAAAAGCCAAATATTTGCCTCGAATTAGCAACGGCGAGTATGCTGCCTTCTGCTTGACGGAACCAACTGCTGGCTCCGACGCCGCTTCGATTCGTTCGCGCGCGGTCAAGTCCGCGGACGGATCGCACTATATTCTCAACGGCAGCAAGATCTGGATATCGAACGGCGGTATCGCCAATGTCTTAACCGTTTTTGCGCAAACGCCCGTCCAAGATCCCAAAACAGGCAAAACGAAGGACAAGATAACCGCTTTTATCGTTGAGAGAGGTTTCGGTGGTGTCACTAGTGGACCACCTGAGAGGAAGATGGGCATCAAGTGTAGCAACACGGCGGAAGTCTTCTTCGAAGACGTCAAGATTCCAGTGGAGAACGTTATTGGCAAAGAGGGCGAAGGTTTCAAGGTAGAAATCCACGCAAATTGTCTTCTTATCTTCGCGCAATCGATATGAATCCTTGATAAAGACTAGGAAAACGTTTAATCTCTACATTTTATGATGATATCTTTATATTCAATAAAAAAAATTTCAATGCGCGATTATATATTTACTTTGTTTAATTTTTCAGGTCGCAATGAATATTCTCAACAATGGCAGATTCGGCATGGCCGCGGCTCTCTCCGGCAATATGCGTTACTGCATCAACAGAGCTGTGAATCATGCGACGCAACGTGTGCAATTCGGTCGCACCTTGGACAATTACGGCGCCATACAGGAGAAGCTAGGGCGTATGTCTATACTGCATTACGTCACGGAGTCTCTCGCGTACACGATTTCCGGCAATATGGATTACGGAAGTCAAGATTATCATCTGGAAGCGGCTATTTCCAAGGTAATTCTCTCATCACTCGTCGTCAATTGTTATACTTTACAAGTGCCGCTTCGTTGCAGTGTTTCGCTTCCGAGTCCGCATGGTGGGTATGCGACGAGGCTATTCAAACTTTAGGCGGTATGGGCTTCATGGCCGACGCCAGTCTCGAACGAGTATTGCGGGACTTGCGCATATTTAGAATCTTTGAAGGGACGAACGACATTTTGCGTCTATTCGTGTCGCTCACTGGTATCCAGTACGCCGGTAGCCACTTGAAGGAGGTGCAGAAGGCCCTTCAAAATCCGGCCGCGAATCTGGGACTGATCTTCGAGGAGGCGACCAAGCGGGCGACCAGAGCGATTGGCTTGAGTTCGCCGCCCACCTTTGGGAATTTGATTCATCCGAGATTGGCGGAAAGCGCCGCGCTTTGCTCGAAGGTGGGAATAATAAAATGAATAAACTGGGGTTCTACAAATTAAGTGTGAACGAGTTTGTGCAAAAATAATGTCACATTTGCAGAGCGTGGAGAGCTTTGGACAAGTCATAGAAGCCATTCTTATCAAATACGGACGAGGTATCGTAGATGAACAGTTTATCCTTAACAGAATCACGCAAGCTGCTTTCGATACGTACACAATGGCGGTTGTACTGAGCAGGGCGACCATGTCGTTGAACAAGAATCTACCTAGCGCGGAACACGAAATATTAATGGCACAAACTTGGTGTGCGGAGGTATGAACACGTTTACATTATTCTTTATCAATCCTAGCAGATCTTATTTGAACTATTTACTACAATCCTCGTTGGCAATTTTCTTGAAAAATCTATTTAGTTAATTCATAGTCTAATAATTAAAAAAAAACACATTTTTTACGGGTGAATAATAATTGACTCATTTGCTTCCAGTAAATCATGTTAAAAATATTATTTGATCTCGCTAGCGATAATGCGAATACATAATTTATTTTACTAAATACGCTGTTATTGTTACAGGCATCCAGCCGTGTTGCATACAATCTGAAGCAGGTTAATAGCGGTAAACAACTGGACGTCTTCAGTAAATTGAGTAAAATTTCGAAAAACATGTGCGACGTCGGCGGGTGCGTGCAATTGAATCCTCTAAACTTCTAAAAAGACTTTACAAATTTATTGCATAAGAAAGGATTTATACGATCTTGGAATTTATAAGAAATTGCTTTTTATATGAAGAGGAAAAAAACTAATTATCCTTTAAAACTTTATAATTAATTATAAGTATTGATCAAAAGAAATCGATTTTAATTTGGATTATCAGTGCAAAATGTTGCCTATTAATATTTTACATAGATGTGCGTGAAATAAAAATATCGATAATGTTTGACGATAATGTTTGACGATAATGTTTTCAAGTTAGTAAAATGTGTAAAATATCACTTATCGTGATCATCTGTAAATATATCTCCCATGGAAACTATGCGTACAGTTTCGAGCAACTAGCAATGCAACTAGTAAACACATAAGGTGTAAAGCATAAGTTATAGTTATCATGTGAATATAAAATTATGTATTTTTTTAATACTTTTTCCATACCTTTACACACGATTCCAAAACGACGAGTCCAAATAAATAGTTACACAAAGAATGCGATTTATTTGATGTTTTCCTTTTTTTTTTAGATGCTATTTATTCGTCAAATATCCATAAAATAATAAAAATAATCGTTTTATAGATAGATCACACGATGTTAAGTTGTCTTTTACATAATAAATAAAATGAAAGACTTTAAATGGGAGAAGTGTATTGTGTTTTACGGCATATATAATATAGCTTATCTTATACATTTAAAAATATTTAATTTAATATTATCTGCTTAATTTAATAATAGCTGCTCCCTTTTCCCACTTAAAGAAACTCTCCAGAGCACGAGACACATGAAAGAAATGTATCAAACAGGAAGCTACAATAATAATCATAATAACCGATTGTTCGTTTTTCTCATCGTTAAATGCATAATTCAACAATATCACAACATTATGCGAATATAAAGATACACAATTTTTCCATACTTTATCCATTCTTAATGACAGTGGAAGCACACTGAATGTCTATATAGTTTTCGTATCTTAATCTTTTTTTTTTTTTTTTTTTAAAGGTGTACAACATCCGTACATGAGATTAATATTTTGTGCAAAATGTAGAACGAAGAAAGAAATATGAAGTTGCACGCACAGTCCGCACAATATAATCGCGTTACTCAAGTTTGAGATTCAAATTTTATTTTATTATTTTGTCAGTTAATCGCGTGGAATTACTATAAATTTCATCTTTTGAAAAACGGTGTACGAAGTAAAACAAAACCTAAATATGTTGCTTTTTTTACAATGATTCTAACAAAGTGAAATTCGTTGTCTCTTGATATTAAATCTGGAGTTATTTCTCATTTCATGTAGTAAAAAATGTAAAGTGATCATAATAACTTCACGCGACTAAAATACCAATCGATCAAATACGATTAACTTTGTTAATCAAAAATTCAATTGTATTTATAGAAATTTTAATAAAAATCTCGCTATATGCTTCTATAAAAATTACGCAAACGGGTTCGTCGTAATTCCTTTTTTTTTTTTTCTTAACGTGAAAATTGCAAATTCACTGATTTTCAATGAGCCTCGAGGCTCAATTTTCGAAGCGGCAGTGAATTCTCACGACGCGCTGAACGCGAGTTTCGGATTCGAAGGGGCTTTGAGTCTCAAACTTGAAGCCGACTGGAACACAGTGACGAGTGCTCGATTAAGTTAACCAAATTCACCTCGAATAATTTATACACATGACACAAAACTAACGCCAAAGATAGATCTCGATTACTTTCTCTATACGCAAAGAAGGCGACAAGTCAGGCGAGGGGAGGCGAGGGGATTTATCTACGAACGTTGATAGACATTGTAACAATGGTTGCAATTTTCGTAACTTCTGAGAAAAATAGAACATCTGACTATTCTCTTTATACGTTACTCCAGGTATGTAATTTTATACTTGGCCGGGGGGGGGGGGTAAAGAACCGGGACACACCGCACAGTTGTTCATCCTTTGTGAATCTATGCGGTTACACCGGTTTCGCGCTCTTACCATCTTCTTAAGATCTAATAAAATTACCACTGTTCTCGCGCAATGCTAAGAAGTATATTGGAAAGAAACGGTCGAAATAAGATAGAAGAGGATGATTGTGAGAATTCGCTCGTTTACAGGACCGGAGAGATCACCGTCGCTTACGTCTGAGGACACGATCGCCGGCACGATCACGTGCGCTACTGCAACACGCTACCACGCGACACCATTACCTGCTCCAACCCGGTAGGCCGTCAGACTCCAAGGAAGCAATCGATACCTATTTATGGACGCTTTAATAGACGATCCCGGCGATTGTGTTTCACGTCTAAACGACGGCGAACTCCGCGTTACTCGCTCGTCACAAAGCGTCACACGCATTTCCTATCTACAAGAAGGCGATTTGAACGTCCTGTAGAAATCTATAATATCTCCTCGTTATTATCCTTAGATCGAAAATATACATGCGTAACCCTGATATTCCTCAATATGAAAAAATAAATCTTTGTCGATCCATCACTATCGTTCTATGACTTGCTTAAGTATAAACGTACTCTTTACATTGGTGTTGGAAAAAAAGCGGAACACTGTGTTTAGCATACGCGTTTTTTTTCGGCGTTTATGTAAAATAAAACGAATCGGACTTTTTGTATGTCGAAGAACATCGGCACGCGATCTTTTTACTTCGCTAGCGCAGGCGAAGACAATGGAGTTCGATATTTTACGAGCGAATAAACGAAATTAATTGAGACAATACACCGCCGATTGTTGTTTTTTTTTTTTTCTATGCTGATGTTCGCAACACGCGCGATTGTCGCGCGTATTTGACTGCGCGTCGATTCTCCCGCAAGAGAATTCTACCTCGCTGTATACTTAGTCTTACTTTCGTTGCACACTTTTTGCTTTTATTATCTTAAGTGATCACTCATCGCTCGCAGGCCCACGCGCCTGTACGAAACTGGTCGCTTGTAGCGTACATATCGTAATACTAATCGCCTTATCGCGACTCAAGAATTCATAATCTCTAATACTTAATGTACACTCAAAGTTCGGGTCGCGTGTACGGAATAATTTTACACCATATCTCAAGTATCATATACTAAGACTTTCGAAGAATCGGAATTCTATTATACGAATGTAATAATTTTCAGAAAAATACCTTTATGTTCGCAATGAAAGATCAAAAATATAGAGATCCGCCCTTTGAACTGTGCCTTCTACACATCTTTTAGCTTCCTCTCCGACTTGCAGAGCGAGAGCGTACATCTGCCCGTTTCATCTTACACGCTGAAATGTGCAGGAACGCGCAGATAAAAGGAAAACGGATTCTGCGTTGTCTTACACGTAGGAAATTATTCTTCATAACTACCAGCAGTACGGAGTCTACGGCTTTCTTCACTCGAGGAAATTATAATACTCGAATAAGCGGAGTGGTAAAAATGTAATAAGCGTGGATGTGTCGTGTTAATCTTCGACGATCTCGCGATACAATAAATTACAGTTGCGCGTTATCGCGCCGTTTGGCCGCAAGTATATGTAACAATAGCGTAATAATAATAATAACGACCATAACTTTATACATGAAAATCTACAATAAAAGTACGTGACGATACGATTCAACGATCTCTTGATATAGAATAGTAATATATTATACACAATTCATATATGTCGAATATAAATTAGGATGACTGGAAATCTCATTCGCGAAAAGGATATCAGACCTCATCCGGCTACTATTTATCGTACTACCTAGCTAGCCATATACATGTCTCGCGCGACATCGAAATCGCGACTTCTCTCGCTCGCTGCAGCAACTCGCTTTACAAAGTAGCGTATCCGTGACGTGTACGGTACGTGCTTAGTGGAGGACGTATATATGTATATATATATATACTCGAAGCATATACAAAACTAATTATGGCAATCTTCTTTTAGGTGGAAAAATTAGAAGGTACTTTAACAACACGAATTGTCTGACGGACATTTCAACTTAGCCGGGAGCGTGCCTAAAGAGCGATTTAAAAAAAAAAAACAAAAACGTTAATCTCATGCGAAACGAGAATATTGCGAAAATTTGCGAGAGCTTGTCGAATCGTGAATAACGCAATACCATTACCTGGAGTAACTCGCGAGAGAGACACAGAGAAAAAGAGTTAGGTTAATGACCTAACCCTGTGCTATAGACAGATTTTTGAATGTTTGTCCGTTCCAAGCGATCGCGATGCAGTAGTGCTGGAGCAACTGGGTGAGGAGCTCTCGTTCATCCAGCATCTCTATGTGCTCGATTCGACCACGATCCATTACAGGCAGTGAATCATAAACCTCCACCATCGTCCACGCACTCGCACCCTCCCAATTGTTTATCGTAAATCTGCAACGATCGGGAAGACGAATTAGTACCGATTCGGGCGATTGGCCAAAACGCAAATGGATGAAAGACCCACCGTCTCTGTTGGGTCTCTAACGTCTCGCAGTCCTCCACGCCCGCCAGTAAGCACCCACGGCTGCGTAGATTTGACAACATCACCTGGCCGAATTTGTCCTTCATATTCACTTGCTCGTAGCTGACGAAAAGGCTGTTCTGAAACTTGCCCGCCAGCCATTTCAACAGTGACGAGGTCGCGCTAGCGTCTACGTAAACTAGAACACATTCTGCGAGGAACATGGTGGGTAAATTGAAATTGACTTCGGCTTGGGTCAATTTGTTATTTAGCTCCGCTATGTGCCGCAGATCTGTACCAACCAGGTGATAATTCGCGGCGTGCAGGTCTGTGGTGGAAAATCGGATTTCTCCGTCTGAAAAAAACAGTTGCGTTTGTAAAACGTATGAAATATAGCGTGCGCGGGTAAACGAGCACGATGATGAGATAATAATCGTGCGATAAAGTACCTTCGGTGTTTAGCATATCGATTAGATGCTTGTGCTTCTTGATGTGATAACATTTCCTCGCGGTAATGCTGGGAAAATCGAGCTCTACGAAGTTCGCGGGGGTATTTCCAGCTTCTCTCAGCCTCCAATAGAGTGTATCAAAACCAGCACCCAGGTTTATAATTTGCCCTTTACCGCCAGACAACTGCACATGTGTAAAATTCATCATATTAAGTCTGGTGATATTAATAACAATAACGTGAATATATTCTTTTTTCATTTTGCAGCACATATTATTATAACTTTTCCCCACTTTTTATCCTTCGTAGATGCATCAAACAAGATATTTCTACTGCAATTACAATTTAAATAATATTTGCAATATGTACGAATTACAATAAAGTATAAAAATAATTTCACATTTTCCGATTATAAAAGTAATACTCGTTGCTTAAATCCATTAGATATTAAATTTCTTATTATTAATTCAGAGCAGTCTAAAAAAAACTGCACTCTGCCTATAAAGAAAAAATAATTGATTTTTGCTTTTATTATTAAGATTTCCTCGATATAAATATACTCTTCATGTCTGAAACGCCAGATCAATGTGTACTCGAGTTAAGTAACTTCAAAGCCAAAAACGCACATTTATTTATGTATAAATAGATGGAATATTTTTGTCGTGTTATATTTGGTGAATTTTATAGTGTGCGCGGCGTCGGTGCCAACTCGGAAATGAGAGCTACACGCGCCACAGCGCATTTTTTGTTGACCTATATATTGTCCGATCGACGTGATAAAAGCGGGGAACCTCACGGGAATTAGGACAGGGCCTCGGCCGTCAGCGGGTCAAGGTTTCCGCCACTGGCACGTCCCTGCCGCCCGGATCAGCTGTATTCTCCCCCTCTACTCCCGCCTCATCCCGATTGTTTCGATTCGCATTCTAGGTTATATTCACCGCGATGCCAAGCGAATTCGCTCGACTCGCCAACATTTCTCAAGCAGATCTGCGAGTTTTGACTGCGCTTTCCAAGTAAAATACAGATACATTAACGATGCGAAGCGCAAAAAGTGCGATCAACACGAAAGCCGAGATATCTCGATGGCAGAAAGAAAAAAAGCAAAGTGCAGAAAGTGTAGCTAAGAAATAAACCTCATCAGTGTTGTGTTCGAACATCCCGACACAGTCCCTTTGGCCACGTTACGTCTTCCACTTGGAGCGAAACGAACAGCTCTCCGAGTGTCTCGAAGAAACGTAGAAACGAGGAGAGAAAAACGCGGACGGAAAGAACGAATGTGACAATACAGCGAAGCGCTCACCTTGAGAAACTTGTCGACGAAGAGCTCGATGCCCTTGACTCTGGCGTAGTAGCCACGATTGATCTCGGGCGCCTTCCGAGCGGTCTGCTTGACGAACAGACTGATGAACG